AAAATACATTTTATAAAATAATAAATTAATGTAAACTTAATCTTTAACTTTTTATATTTATGTATATTATTATATAATTCTTAAAATTAAAAATAAAATATTTAGAGCTTGTTTATTTTATATTTTAAAAAATAGTTTTTATTTTTAAAAGTAAAAAAATATTTATTAACAAATTTTATTTTTCTTACAAATAATTTATTAAAATTATTTTAAAATAATTTTAAAAAATAAAAAACAAAAAACAGAAACAAATAATCCTTCTCCCTCTTCTTCTCTTCTAAAACTAAACTTTTAAACGTATCTTAAAAATCTCAACATATGACACAACGTTTTTGTCGTTTTATAGGGAGACACAAATACAAAGTCACACCTCCTGTACCAAAATATTTTATGTGTGTAAATTCTCAACGTTGAGAGCGAGTGAAGTTTCAAATCGTTCTTTAAGAAATTTAGGCAAGACATGTTAATTATAATAATATAAAATTTCAAATTGTTAATACTGGACATTAATTTTTAAACATCGAAACAATATAATCTTTGAAAAAAATAAACATATATTTAGTTGAGATTTTTAAAATATTTTTTTCAATTTTAGCATGGATTGACAAAAAAAAGTGGGTTTTTTTTTAAGAATCACTTATTTTTGTTGACTTCTATTAATTCTTAAGAATAAATAGCTATTATCTCAAATAGTGTTTTATAAATTATGCATTAATATAATTTTGAGATCTAATTTTTAACTTTTTAGAATAAAATTTGTTTTGAAAAGTATTTTTTTCTTTGACAAAATTATGTTAAACAAATATCGAAATTTGCAATTTTTTAAAGTCTGAGTTATTTTCTATGTTAACAAGTTATAAGAAGCAATACTTTTAAAATAGTGGATCGACGGTTAAATATGTGAGAATATTAATTAACATTTCATTGGATCCACTGTTAAATCAGTCAAAACATTAATTAACATTTCATTAGTTTTGTTGCAGGGAAATCGATATTAAATTGGTAATAAAAAACATTGTTTCAATATTATATGACATGTTAAATAGTGATTGATATAAATTTATAATTTTTTTTAAATATAAAATAGTATAAAATGATGATATTATATGTTTTTATATATTAATATTTTAATAAATACCTTATAATAATAATTTTTTAAGCATATGTAATATTATACAAGATAGTAAGTTATATATAATAAATTTATTATTAAAAAAAATTTAAACAATTCAACATTTAATATTATTAAATGTTACATTTTGAATATAAAATTATTATCCTATGACTGTTATACATGTAATAATAATAATAATTTTGCGTAAATATTGAATACAAACCTTCATTTATTCTGAATTTTAATATTTTAAAATATAAAATAAAATAATAAAAAACATTAATTACCTTCGCGATGTGAATCAACTAAAAAAATTATTTATGTTAAGTTAATTTATAATTTTAAGTTGAAGTTTTATTAAATATAATTTAAATATCATCATATCCGATGTAAATATTAATGATTAAAAAAAAATATAATTTAAATCAAATTTGTATGCTTCTTTTTATTTAATTTTGGGTAATTTTAACCGATTTAAACTATTATTAACATTTTTTCTTCTCTCTACAAGGTAATCAAACTGATTACTTAAAAAGTTTATAACTAAATTGAATGGTTTAGTCTGATTTTTATAATTATGATAAAGGTAGATAAAATTATTATTTTGATGCTTTAATTTTAGTTTTATTTTAATTTTTTTTATTTTCATTCTATCTTTTAATTTTTGAATATTAAAAATGGTAATTTTAATTTATTATTAATTATTATTTTTACTGTTATTATTATCTTTATTTGTTCCTTGAGTTTGATTGATGTAGTTAAAATATAAATAATAAAAAATTATTTAATCGATGTTTAAAAGTTAAAAAAAGAAAAGAAAAGAAAAAGAAAACTAATGCCCCCCTCCCAAAGTACCATATATGGATGAATATTTCAGTCTGGCATAACGCATTCCATCTACTCGGACTCACTGTAACAGCAGCCGCACTAATAATAATAATAATAATATTTCGAATGGTATAAGCATGATACCAATCAAAGAATGGAATATTTTGTTTGACTTTTTCGAGAAATTGATAGAATTTCTCTTGGATAGCAGACCTGTCTTTTCCCCTATAATTTTGAAAGAACCACTCTCTTTGAGGTTTCCATTCCTCAGAGTAGAAATCTTTGCTAAGGGTTTCCTTATCTATAATGAATTTATGAGATAACATCATAAGACTCATTAAGGGAATAGTAAGTTGGAGATTGGATACTCTGATTTTCGTCTTCTTTTTCAGAAGTCTGATAAACATTTTTAGGAATCCTAGAAGAAGTGTCTAAACCTTGAAGATTTAGAGAGGGGTCATGATTAACAGACCTAGGAATATCAGGTCTAACATAAGATCTAGAAGAAAAAGATCTTCTAGCAGAGACAAAGTCAGATCGATTACTATAAGCATCGATCCTTGAGGAGAAAGAGTTTCTCCTATCAAAGGTTATTTCAACCTTTCCAGAATTGTCCTGTGAGATGTCCTGTATTTGAGGAGCAGGACGAGGAACACTGGGTGAGGCTTTATCCATCACCCATTTTTCTGGGAGAGTAACCTCATCCCATTTGATAACTCTAGGTAGAGAAACATTAGCTTTTGTCATATCAGTGATAAACAAAATAGTTTCTCCCTTTTGAGGCTTGAGAAGGACTCTAGAAGCACAAGAATTCATGACCTTATACTGAATCCTATAGATTAATGCGGCGGGAATAGATCCCTCTTTCATGTCTAACCCATGAAAGCAAATATTAAGAAACAAGGAGTCTAGGATGTGTTCATCCATAAGACTCACAGTTTTGTTGGGAAAACAGTTAAAATAAATCGGACCTTGACCGAGACTGGTTTCAACTGTTCCTATGAGAGAATCATCAAATTTATTATGACGAATATCTCTTAGACAAATTAAGACAGCAGCATCTATGCCTATGTCTATCAATGGTTTAATTGCTACCTGAACACATCCTATGTGAAGGTACTTGTACTTTCTTTTATGGTCATTGAGGGAGGATTTGGACAGGAGATGAAATTCTTCCCCTATACCTTTCCCTAAAGGGATATTATTTTCAACAGTCTTGATAATATAATCAGAACTGTTTTTCTTGGGTTGGTCTTCAGGAACATATAATGTATCCTGAGGAATGACTGGGATGGTCCAGTCATCCATACTTTGATTGATCTCTTCAAAACGAACTTTTTTGTCGAAGAGGTTGTGTTTGGGTGTGATTTCAGGAGAATGATTCTCCTGGTCATTAAAGAGATTGGTTTTAGTTGGAGAGGAGGAGGAGGAACTTGAGCCAGAACGAAAGGAAATGCGAGAGAAAGAGCGTAAGAGTCTGGACATCATATAAAAACATCTGGCTCATCACCCTCATTTGGTTCCGTAACAATACATCTGTTAATTATTTATAACTTATTCAACTGGATCTACATCTGTTAATTATTTATAACTTATTCAACTGGATCTGGTTATTTGTGGACTTTTTTTTTTTTTTTTTAAATTTATACTTACAAAATTCTGAAAATTCTTTTACTATAGCCACCAGCTTCTTATGTTCTTTGTTTCTTTTGAATACAGCATCGTCAAATTAGCCTTACTGCCCTTTCAACCATACGGGACTTACTGCTACAGCCCTATTCAAAAGAACGAAGAACTGCTGTACTTCCAGTAAAGGATTTTCTAAAAACAAAGAACTGTACAAAAGCAATATTTCAGCACCATTAGTTCGTGGCGTTGTTACAGACAGGGAAGAGAACCCGAAGTGGATCAAGGAAACAAAAAATATGTAGATTAACAGACTGAAAGGAAAGTAGGCAGTAGCAGGACTACTAAATGATATGCAGAAATTAAAAGTGCAGTATGTAAAACAGTTAACACATAAAGAAACTAGAACGGTGGTATAACCAACACAGATCTAGTGAAGGGAGAAGAGAAGAAAACCGGAGCGACGGTAGTCCGAACAGGACCGGCTAAGAGGGAGAAGAGAGGAAAATAATTTGAAACAGCAAATTTTATTGAAAGATCCCAAAGAAGAAGAAGGCTTACAAGAAGTTTTTCTCTCAGAGCTTCTCTCTCTTAAACTAATTTAAATATTATTTTTAAATTTGAAACTTTAAAATATCTAAAAAAATCCCAGATTATTTTAATTTTTATATCAATAGTTGGTAGCAATAAATTTCACTTTTAAAAATATTTTATCAATAATTAATTTAAAATTTTTCTGTAAAGATATTTAGAAATATTAAAATATCCCTTTAATTGATTATTTTAATAATTATTATCATAATCAGTATTATTATTTATTTTTAAGTTCCGTTGGTATAGTTAAATCATAAATAATAAAAATATTTATTTAATTGATATTTACAAGTTAAAAAAATATTTAATTGATATGGTTGAATTCACAGTCTGGCATAACGCATTCCATCTGACGACGACGATAATAATAATAATAATAATAATCGTTTGCTTAAAAAACTAATTTAAATGTTTCAAAATCAAAACTTTAAAATATTTAAAAAAAACTCAGCTTATTTTAAATTATTTAACAATAGTTGGTAGCAATAAATTTCACTTTTAAAAACATTTTATGAATCATTAATTCAATTTTTTTCTGTAAAGATACTGGGAAAAAATTAAAAAAAGCCCTTTGAATCAAAAGTTAAATGCGGTTATTACACTTTAAAAAAAAGCGGTTATTAAATAATTTTAAATAACTTTTGTCGTAGCGCAGGTAACTGATGTTATTATTTATACAGAAATAATATTTGTTTATTATTTTTACGAAGGAGAAATAAATATCATTAGTCTAATGAGTAATGAGACATTTAATATAAGAATTTGTATTTTTTAATAGTAATAGTAATAAAAAATAACAAAGCATGTTTAAAATAGTGGCCAATGAGCTTTGAAGAATAAGTTGCAGTAGGCTAAGCTGAATCTATAGGCTAGAGGACCAGAGTCTATAGACTGTTGAGAGAGAGACAGAGAGAGAAAGAGAGGTGTAAAGGAAAATGAGTACTCAACTTCTCAAACTCAAATAGAAAGAGAGAGAGAGAGCACTCAACACTGCATTATGATATGAGGCAGCAACGTTGTTGGCAAGTTGGTAACGTGGATTCAGGTCTTTTGGGGGAAACAATCAACGACAACGACAGCATCAAAAGGAAGAGAAGACCCAGAACCGTAACAGCTTTCAGAAGCTCTCAAGCTTTTAAAAAAGTGGTTTTGAGCTCAAAATGAAGGAAAAAAGTGATCTTTGATTCTGGGTCACAAACAACTCCAAGAAAAAAATAATAAATATAAAAGACACGGAGAGGCACCACCGTCACCATGCTATGCTATCTGCAACTGAAACTTGAAGCAGCAACACCACACATATAATAATAATATGTGTTGTGTGAAATTGTTTGTTGCTTGTTAGTGGTTATCGAAGAGAAAGAGAAGAAGCAGCAGCTTTGTAATTATGAATAGTAGGCGCATTTAACTGTCATGTCTGGTTGGTGTTTGTGTTTCTCTCTCATGGGTAATTGATGGGGTAATATCTGTTTGTGGCTGCTGAGAAGGACCTTTCAGTTTGTGTTGCCTTTGTCTTTCTGTTGCGTGCTTTTGTTGTTGTCTTTGAATGGCACATCTTCAGTGTAATCTCAGGGGCCCCGGGAGTGGTTGTTCTCAACCGGAAAAAGGTTGCAATTTCGTCTTCCATTACTCTATTTGGTTACTGAGAAAGTTTCGCCACAAAACGGAAATGCCTGTGTTTTTTTAGCAATTGCTCATGTTGGACTTTCTTTTTTGTTTTTTGTTAACATGATGAAATTGTTGAGACCCTTTTTTGGTAAGAACATGGGGGAAACTGGGGTGGAGCTTAGAAGAAAAATGGAAGAGAAAAGTTTTTAACTTTCTTAGAAACCATGCAAGGGTATTAAGGTTATGTTCTTCTTGTAATTACTTGTTTTGCGTTTTTACAGGTTTGAAGGATGATGATCTGTATAGAGAGCTATGGAAGTTGTGTGCAGGGCCTTTGGTGGATGTTCCTCGTACTGGAGACAGAGTTTTCTACTTCCCTCAGGGTCACATGGAACAAGTATGTTTTTTTTTTCTTCAATTTTTGTTGCCATTTTTGGGTTGTGGTTGGTTGCTTTCAAATTTTGGTGCAAACCTAACCAAACCACTTTCCTTGTTGTACTTGCATACGAAACTTTTTGGCCTTCTGGGTTTTTTTTTTTTTTGCTTTTGTTGCAGTTGCAAGCATCTACGGATCAGGAATTGAACCAGGAAATTCCCCATTTCAATCTTCCCTCCAAGATTTTTTGCCGTGTTGTGAACATTCAGTTGTTGGTACTGTTGTTTTATTCCCCTTTGCTTTTATTTCGTTTTGTTGTTAAAACGACGGTTCACGTGTATTTATTGTAGAATCTTGTTAATTTTCTGTAGGCGGAACAAGACACTGATGAGGTTTATGCTTGCATTGCTTTGCTTCCAGAATCAGATGTGAGAATATATGTGTCTCCTATCCTTTTATGGTTTAGTCTTGTCGATCTGTTTGGTTGCTGAGAGTTACATTTTCTGAACCCACTTTCCCCTCATTATTAGCTTGTCTAATTCTGCTTTATGATATTCTCAGCTATTATAAAAGAAAAAAAGAAAAACTCATACCAAAAAAGTAGATTTCAGATTGAGAAATGGGGATCGAAACTTACTATATGCTTGACAGTTATTGGGAGTAATCTTTTTTTTTTTTTTTTTGGGTTTCATACAGCAAACTGAGCCTATAAATCCTGATCTAGATGTTTCTGAGGCCCCAAAACAGAAGTTTCACTCATTTTGCAAGATATTAACGGCCTCTGATACTAGCACACATGGAGGGTTTTCTGTTCTGCGGAAGCATGCTACCGAGTGCTTGCCTCCATTGGTATTTAGTTCTTTGAGTTTCCTTTAGCTGAGGCAGAATGTAAATGTTATGTTTAACACTTAGTAAAAGAAGAAATCAAAATTTCCTGAATTTTTAATGCTTTTATATATTGTAGGACATGACCCCACCAACCCCAACTCAGGAGTTGGCTGCAAAGGATCTTCATGGATTTGAGTGGAAGTTTAAGCACATATATAGAGGTAATTTGGTTTTGATATGAGGATCAATTTTTAATCTGAAGTGAATGAAGATTGTGATTTGCATTGAGTGGAGAATGTTAGAGGCTAGAGACATAGTCCTCATATCTACTTTACTCTTGGGAATCTTGTTTATCCCTTTCGCTAATGTGGTCAGGTCAACCAAGGAGACACTTACTTACAACTGGCTGGAGTACATTTGTTGCATCCAAAAGATTGGTTGCTGGAGATGCTTTTGTGTTTCTAAGGTATTTAAAATGTAAATTTGATGCCTTGTGTATTTTCCTGTTTTTGATTTTGGGCTTCTCAGTGTGATTGTCTGCACTATGTTCTTGCCTTGATTGTTGCAGGGGAGAGCAAGGGCAATTGAGAGTTGGTGTTAGGCGGTTGGCTCGGCAGCAGAGTCCTATGCCTTCATCTGTGATATCAAGCCAGAGCATGCATCTTGGAGTGCTTGCCACTGCTTCCCATGCAGTTATGACTCGTACCATGTTTTTGGTTTATTACAAGCCAAGGTTTGTATAAATTTTGAATTGTTATATATATGTCACTAACTTATAAATAATCCAACATGTTTGTGTAAACATGTCCTTTATCCCTTCAGGACAAGCCAGTTTATTGTTGGCTTGAACAGATATCTAGAGGCTGTCAACAACAAGTTTTCAGTTGGCATGCGTTTCAAGATGCGATTTGAGGGCGATGACTCACCTGAGAGAAGGTATCCTTGTAAACAGTTATTGTGGTCAGAATGTCACCTTCCCTGCTACTTGGTATTTAATTACCGTGCAATTATTTGTCAGGTTTTCTGGTACTATTGTTGGGGTCGGGGATGCGTCTCCAGGATGGTCAAATTCACAGTGGCGGTCCTTGAAGGTTCAACTTTATTCTCAACCATACATCCGAATTCCCTTCCTCTTAATTAATTGTACGCTTCCCATTTGAGCATTTATATTTTTCTGTCAGGTCCAATGGGATGAACCAGCAACAATTCCAAGGCCTGATAGAGTTTCTTGCTGGGAGATAGAGCCTTTTGTAGCTTCTACTGCTTTGAATGTCACACAACCAGTGGTGAAGGGCAAAAGGTCTAGGCCTAATGATGTTTCCTCTTCTGGTAGGTTACTGTTGTTCTAAAATTCTCTTTTGGTGAATTGTTGATTGACTAACATTAACTAGGCCTAATGTTATTTTCAATTTAGCTGCTTCAGGTTTGTGGTATCATGGTTCTTCTCATTCTCATGAGCTTACTCAATTAGGTGGTGCTGCTGAAGTCCAAAGCAAGGAAAATCAGGTTGTATGCTCTCTTAGACAGAAAGACGTTAATAACAATCCTATTAATGCTAACTCCAGCAGCTCTAGAGCGCGGATGGAAGGAATGTGGTCTTCTTCACCCCATTTGAATGTCACTTCTAACCTCTTTTCTGATCCCAATAACAAGAACAGCGTTACTGTGCGATCGTCCATATCTAGTTATCCCAATGTTTCATCTAGATCAAGCGATGGTCCCACGGCAGAAGATGTGAAAAAGACTGAGAATTCCCTAGATTGCTGGCTATTTGGAGTTAATTTGACTAACAAATCTACCATTGTCATTACTCCTTCAAAGAGAGAATTAAGATGTCCTAGTTTAACTATTGTTCCTAGTGGTCCCAAAGAATCTATTCCTGCAGCTGCATGTGAATCTGGGAGGGTTCAGACTCCTAACTATTCACTGTCCAACAAGGGGCAGAAGCAAATTATTTCTGATGCATCACCAAATGAGTGGCAGAACAAGCAGGCCACTGTACCATCCATGAGGACGCGGACTAAGGTACATTTTCAGCCTTGAGCGAAATAATCTTAAGATTCCTTTCATATTTTGGAACAAGGTCAAATTATGTAAAAGAGAATAAAATTGGTCATCCTTTAATAGTTAAGGTCAATTCTAGGTAGCTAGAAATCTTTAGTGTAACATTTTCTTTCCAATTTTCCCTTCAAATTTCATTTTGTTTTCTTAACTAATTTATTATTGTTTGAGAAGGTGCAAATGCAAGGTGTTGCTGTTGGTCGTGCACTTGACTTGACCATGTTGAATGGCTATGATGATCTCATAGAAGAGATTGAGAAATTGTTTGATATCAAAGAAGAGTTGCGTTCACAAAACAAATGGGCAGTTACTTTCACTGATGATGAAAATGACATGATGCTTGTTGGTGATGATCCATGGCCGTGAGTAACATCAACTTTGTTGGCTCCTTCACTTTCAATTACATGTTTAATTATAACATGGGTTTAATTTATTGGTTTATTTATTTTCCACTTGGCACCTCATAATATGCAGGGAATTTTGCAACATGGTGAAGAGGATCTTCGTTTGTTTAAGGGAGGACTTGAAAAAGATGAAATGCAAGCTACCTACTTCTTCATCAGAGGTTGAAGAGACTCTATTGAGCCCAGATTCACAAAATAGGGATGAGACTCAACATTCTCACATGCCTTAGACATTTTAACCTTTTTCTTTGTTTTTGGGCTAGGGAGGGGAAAGGTATCAGATGGTATGAGTTGCTTAATTTTATGGAACTTTCACAGCAACTGCAGATTAGTGGACTAAATTATATAGTATGATGATGACAAAAGGAAGTGCAGTTGGATTTTAGGTACTTATATTGTGAATACTTTTTCTTTTTTTTCCTAGAGTGCCATCAGCATGTAAACAATTATGCTTTTTCCCATCTCTAATGGATTGTTTGTCTGTGATGTGTCGATTTGTTCTACATGCATGTTACCGTGTTTTGCTAATTTTGTTTGTGTACATCTCTTTTTCATGGTTTGGGTTCTGGGTGCTAATAAAGTGAATATTTGAACTACAACTTCTAGTGTAGAAATAGATCTATATTTAAATATATTCAACGTGAATTAAAACATGCCAAACATAATAGTTAAAAAATATTGAAATAATAGTTAATATATATATATATATACTTTAAATATGAAATAATTGTTGAAATATATTAATTTTTAGTGGGGGATAGCATTTTTCCTTATATTGTTTAATTATTTCGACGCTTTGCCAATATCAAATATCGATGGGAGATTGTCAGTGACTAACATGGTAAAAATTGAAGGTGTCAGGAATTGTGTAACACTAACAAATTGTAAAATGAAGTGTAAGAAATTTGCTTTAGATACAAGTTAATTGTAAAATAAAATGTGATTTACAAGTTATCAAATAATGCAAGTAGTTGACTTGGGTAGTAGTTATCTTAAACATGTACTTAAATTCGGGGGATTAAGGTAATGCGATGGGATGTAGCGTTTGAATTGTTCTATGATAAAGCATTATTCATGTGCGTTGAGGCAGAGTCCTTTTGTAAGACAGATGTTGACATGACATGACTGGAGGAGACAATTTTTGGTGTCTTTGAGATACGAAACTTTCAAACAATGATTGACCTAGTATCAAAATGCACGTTCGATGGCTCCAAATACCCTAATATTTTGGTTTGTTTTTTATTACAATAATTAAATTGTGTTCTGTGTACGCTTGCCACTGGCTGTTTAGTTTCGTGATTGTCTTTCTTTGCTAATGTTCATATATTTTGGGCCTCCCTGTGTTCAAGTATTGCGTGTGACAATATGGTTCTTCTTGTGTTAGGTTCAGTTGGTAGCAGAAATTTTTAAGAGGATTAATGCTATTTATGCATGCTTTTGTTTTGCCATTTCCATTTTAATTCTTCTGAAGTCTGTATCTCAATTTTTAAAAAACGTGTATGTTAAAAACTTTTGGTGAGAGCAAGTAGATTTCAAATAGAGTGCATAGCTATAGTGGAATGCAGTCTCTTTGTATAAAATATGAAAACCTATGCTGAGGTTACACACAGACAAAGGGGTTATATAGAACTTGCTGGAACCAGAGAATTTGATGTTTGATTTGTTCTAAATTATTAACAAGTTCGACAAAAAAAACAGGAAAAATATAAGTTGATTTTAATTAATAGTATACTCGCATGTAATACAAGTTATCAATAGAGTATTAAACAATCATTCTGTTCTTACCCACTAGTATAATACAATAGATATTTAAACGGATTAATGATTATATAAGGATACATTATTTATATTTTAAAATTTTGTGAAGGATATAATAAAACAAAAAAAGTTATTTTCCACTATTTCCATAACAGAAAGAAATTAAAGAATGATACAAATAAAAATTTAATATTATTTCGACAACCATTAGTATATACAAGACATATCAATTATGATAATGATGATAAACCAATCAATCACCCTTTAAAATTCTATGTGCATAAAAATCAGAAGGAAACACCGTATTTTAAACTCTACTTTTGAAGAAAATAATTAAATTTTCTAAGAGGATTTTCAATGAAGGTTGCTGAACAGTTATTTATTTAATTTTTTTATGACATGATAAGAGGGGGAAAATAGTTTTAGGATATAATTGCATGTGAAAAGAAGTATTTTGTTTTCAATGTGTTAAGCTGGGAAGAGAGAGAAAATAATGAGGTTAAAATTGCTCTAAGACGTCAAATATTTTTTCTCCTTTTCTCAGTTAAAACTATGCTTTTATGTTTCTATGAACTGTCAACTGTCACTGAGTTTTTGTTATTTTTGGTCATTGAACTGTCACTTGGTTGTGGTTGCAGACATTATCAACCTTTTCGGAATAGGATTCATTCACATCAAACATCAAAATGTGGTAAAATGGGGAAAAAAATAAAAATAAAACAGTTGATAAGATTACTAGAATAATAGGTGACATTTATATCTAGTTGTATAATTCAGATTTAGATAAAATTGCAAAATATTTTCTTATATATTGAATGTCCTTTCAATATTTTCTTTGATTGTTTTTAGTCAAAGGTGTTTCTTTTTGTTATTTTTGGTCAAGGCGTTTTCTTTGAATTTGAGAGTCACGTTACAAGTAACATTGGTCCTTGTCCTTCGGTCATGAGAGTTACATACCCAGGCCCAAAAACCTTAAAACATCGAAGCCCCACCATGGAAGTGCATAGGTGTAGTGTTTCACCAAAATACAAAGTGCTAACCCTTACATATAACTTCCCAAATGCCCAAAAGAAAAAACACAATACAGAAGTGCTACTGGTGAAGCTTCTCTTCTCTCCATAGTCAATGATATTAAATTTAATCATTGTATTTTTACAGTTTTTTGTTTTAATCCCTATATTTACACTTTCTTTTAGTTTTTTGTATATAAAAATTTATATTTTGATCATATTACTTAATAGTCCCTACATTAAAAATACATTAACATTATTATATTTCAATAAACGGTAAAGACTAATTTACATATACTATTTTAATATAGACTTTTTTTCATATATAAACTAAAGATTGTGTTTCAGTAATGTGCTGAAGAAGGCACTACTCAGTCTCATTAATAGGAAAAGGAAACTAAATATCTCGTTAGCTTAAAAAAATTAAATACCCTCTCGGTCAGGTTAAAAGGTAATTAGTTCAATTAAAGATAATAATTATACCATTATCTACTTTAATTAAAGGACCAAAAATAGGGTTGACTCATAAAAGCCCATTAGCCTATAATAATGCTTATAAAAGGAATGTAGGAGGTACAGGTAAAGAGTTAACTTTTGATTATTAAATAACATTTATTGTTTAAATCAATACCTAACTTCATCATTAGAATATCTTTTGCAGGTGTATTCTCTCACGTCAGATTGTATCAGCAGTGTCAGGAAACACGTCATCTCAATTCGAAAAAGACAAGAAAATTAATGATTTTTCAGCATGATCAAGTAACATTTTATTAAGTATTTATTTAATATTTCTTAGTTAATTAAGTAATTAGTAGGCCTTATATGCACTTAAAAGGAATTGATTAAGTGCATTTGTTAGAAAGTAACTATATGTGGATGTGTACCCCTTTCATGTTTTGTAATCAAAATTTCTTTTAAAAATGAGGCCTTAGCCTTTAGAAGGTCCATTACTCCTACACCACCCTTTCTGTGGCACTTCGTTTTGGATTGGCCTGTTCTTCTTAGTGTCCATTACGAATTTGTTTGATCAAAGTTAATGGCTTCTATATCATTCTTAAACATTTTGTTGTTGTTGTGTGTAGCTTATTTTCCTTGTTAATTGGATTGAATACCCTTTTTTTTTCCCTTAATAATCCCAAAGATTTTGATGTATGCATGTTAAATAAAATAAATTTGTCCCCAAAAGTGATGCATGTACGATTCAGAAGTAGAGAATCCCATAATTGACTGCCATCTTTTCTCATTTCATTTGTTCCATCATTACGTTAATGAATCTCATTCTTTATTGTAGCTTTGCACATATTAGATGTTTAATTTATTTTCATTATTATTAACAAGCTGGACACTTATGCATGCTGATTTTTATTTATATTATACGGACAATTATTTCAAATCATTCAAATCATCAAGTTTTAAGATTTGAAAGTTAAACAAATAGAAAAAAAAAGTTAAACAACCATATTGTCCTTATCCACTGACCACTTATATAATATAATAGATATTTAAGTAAATTTACTTTTTTAGTTTAATTTTAATTCAGTATCGATTTAAAAATTTCTACACTGTCAATTAATTAAAAATAATCATAAATATAACTTTCAAAGTGATCATTATAAATATTCATGATGGTCTATAATGTTAACAGTTCATGATTAAATGCCGACATAAAATTCTTTTTTATACTATCAATATATTTTAATTAAATTTTTTATAGTTAAAATTCAAAAGACAAATTTTATATTCAATTAAAGTAGATTCATTTAAATATTTTCAGTTAAATATAAAGTTTCAAAATTAAAATTTATAAACGAAGTTATTATGACGTAACTATATTAAGGAGGCATGAGTTTGGAGGACATTTTGTTGTTTAAATGTACGAGTAACACATGACACAAATTCGTGTATTGACTGTTATATATAATACAAAAACCTCTGGATTAGGCTTCATAGACATAAAATATCAAGTAGAGAAGAAGAAAAAAGTTGATAAGATTACTCTTTACTCCAATAATTGCCATGTTTATTATCTAGTTCTGTAACTTATATATTTAGATAAAATTGAAACATATTTTATCATATAATGAAGTTCCTTGGAGTCTTTTCTTTGAATTTGAGTCTTGTTAACCTAACATTGAACTTTAATATATCATGAAATAAGAACAAAACCCTGTGTGCTGGTCCAGTGCTCATTTTTGTTGCTCTTTCTCTTCTTTACATGGTGGTATTGTGAATAATGGACAAGGGAAACGTGGAAGGATACATTAGTAGATGCAATAGAGGGAAAACACTTCTGAATTTAAAACTTTTTGAAATTGGTTGCTTCAGTCCATAGGGCAACATTAAGATAAATTCTCAAAAAAGGAACACACTTATGAAGAAGACAGCGGTCAAGTTGGTAAAAATAATAAATTGAAGGTACGTTTGATTTGATAAAATATCTTTGTTTTTATCTGTAATTATAAAAATGAAAGAAGAGTAAAAGTATGAACGTCAATTCTAGGTGTGTAATTTTCACACCTGCAAGTTGCGAAGGAAATCTAATGGAATTTGGTGGCACATAGAAATGACTTGTATTGAAGGGCATGCCACTGTGATGATTCCAATGAAGCCCATGAGAGTTCATGCTGACTTCACGTTACTCAATTTTCCATCACAATTTGGCGTCCATAGCATATGGCAGGCATGGTCCTACGAGACAAATCACCTGTCTTATGTTTGTGTAGGACAAAGGGTTAAGGTCCATATCCTCTTTTTAGACGGAACTCAGAGAAAACAATTCTGGGTCACTTATGTGTCACATGATGCACCAAAGAACCGTTTAACAGAGCCAAGTTATTCTGACCAAAAACAAGGAAGCCAAGGTGTGGTTTAAAAGTGTATAGATAATGAATGAAATTTCTATACTTTGTCATCTCATACACACGTTTGATGGTTTATTTAGTGTTGATTTAAACTTAAAATTATTGAGAATAATATGTGGACATTCATGAAATAGATGTTAAATAGTAGAAGTAAGAGAGCGAATATATATATATATATATAATTTGATAAAAAAAATATAAAAAAACGGCTAGTTTTACTTGTGCGCCAAATGCATTTTCACACTCAAAACACGTCCACATATTCTCTTTCTAGAATCCTAGTCACATGCCCGTTAGCCATACAATAAAGGCTCAAGTTTCTAGTTTGACATCCACAAATTGGTTTGATTCGATAATCAAACTAGGTGGGGACTTGGTAAAAGTAATACAATGATGAAATAATTACGCAGTAGAAGGAATTCATTCTAGAAGTTTGGTTTTGATTTTGACCCTTTTTGTTTACTTAATAATAAATGGTAGTGTGTTAAGGAATTCGAGTCCCTAATCTAATATATGCCCACATTTTTCAACAAAAGTACACGTAGCTACAAGGGCGAATAATAAGCACGTAGGGTCGACCGCTTTTGGAGTTTTGCTTCAGAGAAAGGCAAACATGACCGAAAGAACCAACCTTTTCGGCTGAGGAGCTTCCCCTCATCACTTCCACTTTGTCACATTATATTTCCTTCTTTATATCGTCAAAAGCATAGCCAAAAGCTAAACACTTCTTCTAGTTTGAGCACACAAAGTGTGTGTGTGTGTGAGAGAGAGTAGTGATGGGTGGTTTTGAATCAGTGTTTGAGTCAGAGGAGTGCAACATACCAAGGTTACCTTTGTTGAACCCCTTAACTATGCATTCTCCAGAGAGATCAGGGATGCAAACTCCTCCCCTTCATACCTCAGTTTCAGTTCCATTTGGTTGGGAAGAAGAGCCAGGAAAACCAAGGCCTTGTACTGCTCTAGTAACCTTCTCCAACCCCAACCCAAGGTGCTTGGAACTGCCTCCAAGGTTGTTAATTGATTCCAAGATTGACAACAACAAACTACACTCTCCCACCACAGTTTTGGAGGGACCCTGTGTGGGCAACAATAGTTACCAGTCACCATCTTTCAGAATGAGTGAAGATTGTTGTGGTTCGGAAAAAGGGCAACTTGGGACTATGATTCTCAACAAAGGAGTGGGGATCAAGGAGAAAGGGTGGTTTGGTTCTTGGAGGGAAAAGGGCTTTAAGGTCAAAAGGGAAGCTAGTGGGGGTAGTCATGTCTTTCCATCTTCTGTTGATAAGGATGCTGATCATGTTGGTGATATTGTAGGTAGTCACAAGAAGGAGAGGATGAGAAAGACTAAACGTTCTGAGAGCTTTTCTAATCCATATCATGCCAAGCCTCGTGTGTGGGTAGGTTTTTAAAATTTTTAACATAGTTTATATTATGCATTGTTTTTTTGTTGTAATTGAGTTAAACTTGGTGGTTTTTCTCGGTGCTTGAAATTGTACTTCGCTAAAACTTGTGTTATAATGTATAAAGCATGTGGCTTTGTAGCAATTTATGACTGGGTAAATGTGGTTTTGAAGTCAAGCTTCACTGAATGGCAATTTAGACCAGTTCCTGTTTTGGAGGTCCATATTGGTTACGAGAATGAGGGTTTCACTGCACTAAAGTTGCTATTTTGAGTGGGGGAAACTGAAAATAAAATTCTTTTGGTTCATATAGACGGATCTAGTTTGGTATATCCAAGAGCTAGTGATATTGCATTTGGAATAATAATAATAATTCCAGAAAGTTTTCTCAATGCTAGAGCTAGTTGTTTTTCTGAAAATAGAGGACACTCACGCTCCACTTGACTTGACCAAAGTTGTATTTTGGGGTGGAGGGTACCACAAAGGAGTTGCTCTTTGTCTCTAAATTGTCTTTTTTTTTTTTTTAATTCTGTGTAATATTCTGTTGAATTAAATGAAGTTAGTATGGTCCCTTTTTTTTAATCAGCAAAGTTAATATTGTCCCTTATCTTGCACTGTTTTTGATTATTTGTAGACAACGATCTATAAGGGCTTGAAGCAAGTGGTTCCATGGAAGAATAAAAAACTGAAGAAATATGGATGTTGGTGGCCTTAGGTTTTTGGAACCTTTCCTTGGGTACCATGGTCAGGTCAAAATCAATTACCTTGGATGCTATCTACTACATATGTACTATTTTTTCCCCTTCCATTTATCTTTTTCTTATCTTTACGAAATCAGTATCACAGGTGGCATTAACATGTTACTTCTGTTGCTATACCACTGTAATATTTTGGATTGGTTAATGCTGCTCAAACCTTAGGTTTTATTGTCATGACAAGATGTACAAATTTTCTAATCTTCATTATATGGTATCTTAATTGAATGTATTGTAACAGTTGTGGTATGCAGTAAGTTATTACTTTGATGCCTATATCCGTTTTGAACGGTGCCAGCCCCAGTGATTCATAGCCCTTAAATAAGGTCTAAGGGAAAAAAGAAACCTCACCCTAAACAGGGAAGGAAAAATCCAAAACAGAAGATTGATGGAATGAAACGAATATGATAGATAATGCATAAATCAGTAGTTATTTTGCATTAAGATTTGGACTATTAATAATTATATTTTAGAATTCAATTTTAATTGCAACATTTTTAATAAAATAAAAGGCGAAACTCAAAACTACAGGATCATTCTAGGAAAAGAGAGGTCGTGGACCTCTCATGACCTCTCGGAAGAACAGGACAAACTGAGAAGCGACATCAAATACAATTGTTATAGAATTCCAATTTGTGAAAAGTTATATATTTTATGTTTGGGTTATATGATGAATTGAACGTGGAATTAGAATTCTAAATTCATTTCTAAGTTCTATTGTGGAGATATAAGATATAATTTGTGAATGCGCTATATATATATATAAAGTGTGAAAATAAAATTTATAAATATTTTATTAAAAGCTTGATAATGTAGTTTAATTGTAATGATATAACTGTCTCAAGTTCAAGTCTTAACAAATGTAACTGTGTTATGTAAGAAGAGTTTCGTCATGTACAATGATTTTATTCTATTTGAAATAGAATTGTTTTCAATAAAAATATATATGATTTAGGAAACTAATAATAATAATTTAATCAGATTAGTTGATTTGTTGGAGAAGGAGAGAATTATTAGTAAGGATGTTCGTTTTAATGGTGACAATGACAGTAACGAATAATTTTAGTTGAAATGACTTCAACATTTGAGTAATGTACAAGTGAAAAATCAACATTTTATCTAGAAATGATTCAATTAATTAGAAAAAAATAATTCTATTTTACTTTTTTTACATTTAATCATATACAATTTAATCTTGACCTTTAAAAATGTGTAATGCAACATTTTATATACTTTTAAAAGTGTGTAAAAAAGTCAATTTATCACTCCACCATCTATTTTTTCTATTTTTTAAAAAATATTCTTGAAAATGTCGGTCACTATAGAGAAAGAAGAGTTTGGAATTTTGAGTATTTTTGTCAAAGAAATAGATGCATTGCATATTTTCAAAAGTTAAAGTTTAAATTGTATATAATCAAATATAAAGAGAAATAAAGTAAAATTTATTCAATTAATTATTATGTTATTATTCAGAATTGTCAAAAAGTTATGATTCTAAAAAAAATTTTAAACATAAAATTAGAGTTAATATGATTATTTGCAATTTAAAGTTTATTCTTTATTGGATTCGTCCTGTCAAATGATTAAATCAAAAGCTTAAATTTTTTACTTTATTTTTTTCTTATTTTAATATATATATATATATATTGAAGTATTAACTTGTGTTATTTTAGTTCATAAAAGTTTTCATCTATGCAGATTATTTTTCAACAAATAAGTTTGTGTATGAGTCAACAATTTAATATGGTAAACTTGATTAATAGTCTTCTAGAATATATAAATCGTGCACTTTCAAATTTGTATAGTATTCTTTATGAAAACGAAAGTGTTACGTTGAAAAGTCAAGTAGAAAAAAATATTAAAAAATATTTATAATTATAAAATACTTGTTAAGATTAAATGAAAGTTTTATTGTACTATTCTATAATTAATTATTTTATATGATAGTAAATATTAAATTTTAAAAGAAAAATATAAAAAATTATATAAATAAAAATATTAAGATAGATGAAAAATTGTAAAATAATATTAGAATAATATTTGTAGTGAAAAAAATAATAAAAAATAAATTAAAGTAGTTTAAACTTAACAAAAAATAATATGTTTTTTAGTTTAATAAAAAAGATTACAAAGAACTCATAAGAAATATAGTAAAAATGATTAAAAGAGATTTAACTCAAATTGAATGAGCTTCTTAATTAGTAGTTACACAAGTAAAAAAGGTTAAGTTATAAAATGAATCAGACTCTTTCAGTAAATTAAATCAACTTATGTTATTTTTTTAAATAAAATTTCATTTAATTTATCAAAAACTTAAAAAAATAATTTATTTTTAACTTATAAAAAATATTTTATTTATTTTTATATTATTTTTTGGTAAGCATTTATTTACTAGCTCATTCAAATTAGATCTTAATTAATAATAAATAATACTTAAAAAATTTGATTTTTAATCAAGTTTAACAACTTATGTAATGTAAAATAAGACATTATTATTATTACTATTATTATCTCTATCAAGTTAAATTTTAGACCTTTATGGAAACCTTAACTCCCAAGATTGGAAGCTGCAAAACATTTATTTATTTGGATTAAAAAGGACCTGTGTGCTAATGGAGTGCAAAAGAGTGGACGATGAAATCAACTGGTCAATTCATGCTCGAAGAAATATTGTCTCTGAACACAAGTTTTTTCAATACATTGGTTGTCTTCATTCTTGACAATCTCAGTATCCTAACCTTGGCTTGAAGGAAGATACTTATCATATACTTTCAACATATCTATTATCATTGTTGACTTTGTGAAAACAAAGACAATTCGATTCTAGTATTCTATGTTATTTATTGCATACCTAAAACACTCCACACACAGATTCAGCCTTTTGATATAGCACATTCAACGGCCTAGTCATCAATTTTAGAGTCATTTACGAATGTGTTTGATTTAAGAAAGCATTTTCTATTTTTATTTTTTGTTACAAAAGATACTATAATTATCAAATTCCTCTTGTTTAAATTTACCTAAATGTCATTTTCGACAAATACTCATTTATTTTGAGTAATATATAATTTTAAATATTTTCATACAAATTATTTAAAATAAAATATTTTAAATTAATATTTTTAAAATTTTAATTATATTTTTTATCGGCAAACTTTAATTATAAAAATATACGATGAAATACGGGACAGCAAACTGGTCTGAAAAGTTATAGCCCGCCTGGCCCAATGATTTGTCGAATTGGGTTGGGCTTATCCCACATAAGGCCCACACCAATGGCCGAATTAACATCCCGCAGCATAATCCTAGTTTTAATGAGTTTTTTAGCTTGGATTCTCCTTTCTTCAATTTTGATCAATTTCATAGAAGATATCCGAATACCAATACAAATACAAATATTTATGTATATAATTAGCATATATTAGATATACAATGCAGAATGTACAATAAGGACTAAAACTCAACACAACTCATTCACATTTGATAAAACAAATTGAGTTTCTCTAATTTAACTAAATTCCTTTGTTTACCAATCTTGATGCAAAACAAGACTTCGCTCTAAATCCTACAAAACTATAAACGAGGTAACATCCAACCGACATTCCATCCTAGGAGTAAGCCAGCCCCAACAAGACTCAATCCTAAGGCAAATGCAACACCATATGTTGTAACATTACTTTTCTGTTTGTATACCATTTCATATTTGGCATTAGCAAATTTTGGCTTTCTCTTGCAATGTTTCATGCCTTCAAATTCTAAGGGCACCCATGGAAGAGCCATTGGGAAGAGATTAGAGATTGAATAATCGCGACCCTTAATATGATTGTTATGAGTTTCCAGCTGCAACAGTTGAAACCATTGCTTATAGGTAAAAAGTTGTGAAGCCTGTATGAACAAGAGTGGAATAATGTGCTCTTTCTCTGCATAAGCCTGTTTTGCTACCTCTTCTGCTTCCCTTGCACGTGTTTGAGAATGACAAAGTGCTTCCATAAGTTGAGCTTTGCTGAGATCTCCCTCAAAAGCTTGTTCAAGAGACCTGAAAAAAGGCAATGAAATACACCATTTCCTTTTTAAAAATATCTTGGGAATAAACAATAACCACATAAGGTGCTAGTGTAACCAACCAAGTGATGCAACAAATGTTAAAGAGGAAAATACCTTGAGGATTTGGTAGAGTCAAAATATAAATGCCCTTTGTTGGATATAGGCCCTGGCTTCTTATGCATCATTAGTTCGGATTCTAAACTTCCCTTTGCCTGAATAGTTAAATTGGAAAAGGCACTGAATTTGGCTTCCCAGTCAAAAGATGTTTTTATTTTGTCATCAGTAATAGTAGCATATGGTTGTCCTCTGAGATACTCCTGAGGAGGAGGAAGGTCACAATTCTCAATATGGTTCAGAGATTTCTGTGAAACAAAGCAAGCTAACTCATCTCTGTCTGTACTTCGCCACCATGGCTTTGCCTTCACAACTTCAATCCAAGAATAATTTGAATCCATGGAGAAATCATTTGATTGCTTGGACACTGAGCAGCCAACAGAATCAATATCCATGGTCTTATGTTTAGTCATCATATCCATTAGTTGAGGAAATGCTGGAGAATTTTTCCTATATACTTCTTCCATTCCTTCCATGAAAGAAATATAATCAGACTAATCAAATAAATGGATATATGCATTATGTGTGAAAAGTGTAAACCGTATGTTCACTAAGAAGATATTTGTAAGTAGGGGACAACAAAATGCACTTCCACTAAAATATATCAAAATAAAAATCGAACATTGAGATGAAGAAGGCAGGTACTAATACTATTACTCCCCATATCCAGTTTGAAAGGAAATAGAAACAGTTAATAGTGTACTATAATGCAGACACGAAAATGAAACCTATATCATGGAAAATTGGAAATCCAAATAAAACAGGATTTTTAGCACTTGAATATGCTTGTAGATTAAGAGGGATGATTTTAACTAGGGCTATGTTTCAGTAGGAAAAAGGAAATGAACTTGAACATGATACAGTCTATGAAATATAACATCAACCAATGTCCATAACTCGATATGCACACCATTATCCAACTTCTCATTTCCCACCTACCCAATAATACATAGCCTAAAACAAATCAATAATATATCGATCACCAAAGTTATTCTCAAGTGTTGATCATCATGTAATGCATAAAGATGGACATTGGGTAACAAGAACATTTCAAAAGACAATACATACATCCACTGTAAAGAAAAAGGTTCTCAATTTTCACAACAACGATTACATACTTTTTGGATTTTCTTCACACACTCACCAGATCATACAAAAAGTTCAAAGGGGGAGCACACACATTGAAACTGTAAACTAATATCTCTATGAGGGGTAGCAGTGTGGTACTAGTCTACTGCATTATCTGAGGCTTGGAAGGTTACCAAAACAGATGAGAATGGTAAAACGCACAACCACCCACGTTCATTACAAGCAGAAAAATCAATCAGCAGCCAGAAGAGAACATAGAAATTATTGACCACCCAGAACATCACAATCATTCAAAGAAGCGCAAGCATAACATCAAAACATACGTAAAAGTTGTAAGCAGAAAACCCACCATGTAAAACTCATGCATTCGAATGAAAGATGATAAGAAGAAATACTTGCATGCACAAAGTTGTCCAAAACAGAAAAGATATCATATAAGAGGATTGGAAGAACCAACCCAAGTGGGCAAGAGTGGATTAAGGTGAAAGGAAGTTATAGATTAAAAGAAAAGGAATCACATTGAAATCACAAAGAATCAGAAAGCAATGAAGAAGAAGAAAATGGTAGTTTTTGTGAAAGGAGATGTCTTTCGTGACTGCATACGTTGTTTTTTTGGTTATCATTCTATGTTGTCGGTTTTCGCAAGCAGGACAACCGAAGTGGTGTGTGGACCGGTATTACGGCGTCGTTTCTGGCATCAACCTCTTCCCACTCCCGCACTCTACGACAAATTGTGGGGTCCACTGGACAAAACAATCTAAGAGGGGAAATGTTTTTCCAATCTTCCTCTTTCCTTGAAGTAACAATACCTGACTTTTACGGTTATTTTTTCATTTAAAATAAATATTTTTATATTATTAATTCATTAAAATATATCAAAAATAATTTTTATATTAATTTTTAAAAATCATAATTTTTACTGGTAATACAATCCATGATTAAAGATAATATAAATTTTTAACACTGTTTAATATAATTAAATTAAATTCATAAAAAGAAGCGACTACAAGAAAATATATACGACAGGACCACGAAAATTTACTCGTACCATTGATCATGTGCTTCGGATCTCTTGACGAAAAACATCGGAGCATTCTTGGTCAGACAGGTATCACGTGACCCAATATTATCTTTCTTACTTCACTACCTTATTACACGGAATTTATGTATTTATGTTTCTTCAAAAATTTTGCTTAAAAGGTGTTAAATTCATGCTTTCTACTGTTGAAGTGACATACACATCACAATGAACATGGTGTTGGCTGCAATTAAATCACATCTACGTTGTGTCAACTTGAAGTTCATGACCAAGCTGTGGGCTTACCGTAGTTTTCTAGTGGTTGGGGCTGGTAATCACGTATTACAATGGGTTGATGGGAAATGAGGCATGCAATTTGGTTGTGATACTCGTTTCACTTTTTAGTAGCTGAGTGAAGAAAAGAATATTCATTATTCAAGGTTGGTAGGTGAATCTAACAGCAGTCTATTTCCAGTCCATTGGTATTTTTTTAACAAGTATTCTTAAAAGGTTAAAAATGCAAAACAATACTCACTAATAAATAAAAAGCCTTTTCACATGTTTTCGAATTTTTTTACTGTCTCTCCATAAACTTTATCCCCCAAAATAAAAACACAAACTGATTGAAAAAACTTATGAACAACTTATTAAAAATGATTTATGATTCTCAGAAGTTATTATTTTTTAACTTATTTTAATAAATTTTATCATTAAGTTTAAGACCTAAGTTATTATTTTAAAAAGGATTTATTAAATAAATGTTTACATAAATGGATATTTAAACAATAGAGACACATTTATTAATTAAAACTAAAATTTAACTTCCAACAAATATTGACAACGTTGATTACTGTTGCGCTTGGAGAAAATAAAAGCTTTTGCCTACCAAAAACTTTCATCGGTGTTCCACTTAATATCACTGACTATTTTATATATACAAGCTGCAAGTCATGACTACAAATGTACACAAAGCAAAGCTCAACATAGAATCTAATAGGAAAATAGAACCTATTTCCTCACGTGTATATAAATTCATGAATGACATGCTTGAACAATTCAAAACATACAGGTAATATACACCAAAAACAAAGCCTAATTTTTTCTCAAAATTGTTGCCAGTCACGAGAGCTATTCATAACTTCATAGAACTATATGCCGGCCACTGACTATGGTTTTGTTCCATGCAGAAAGAATGATTCAAATCAAAATGAACCCACCCATTCTGTTCAAAGAAGCAATGAGGTTCACCAGCATGAGATGTTCATGTTCCAGGATGTATGGTCTGGCCCAAGTTGCAGACTTTTTGGATATCTGACCCTTTACAAAATGGATGGTGACTTCAGCAATGTACACATTTCTTTCGCAAATTGTCAAAGAACTCAGTAATGCAGAAAATTATAGCAACTTCTCACTGATGATGACCACTGTCATGCAGCATTTGAAGCATAGTAGAGTTTGACATCAACATAAAGGATCTTGGAAGTATCATAAATTGATTCCATGGCCGTGCAGATGATTGTCCAGCCGTACCAGCTTCACAGTTCCATCCCCACCGCATGTATAAAAACCATGGGGAACAACTTGTATATCCGTAACAGCAGCCTGCGACAATTTAAGCCAAGTATTAGAGTGTGAACTTCTTTTGTCTGATGGAGTATACCTATTTGTTTAAACTTTAAAAAAACACCTCGGCACAATTTATATAACCAGAAACTATTTTAGTCTTAAGAAAAGATCATTGAGTTTGACACAAATAAAACACCCCATGGTGTCAGCTCACGGTGTCAGCTCTAAAGAAGCTATGATTTTCACAGCCTCCAGGCACTGTAGGAGGTGGGAGTCCGTTATGTCTAAAATAGGTGAATTCAGTGTTAACTCATTAAAAAACATGAATTTAGTATAATTTACAATTGTGACATAAATTACCCGAACAACACCACCAAATCCACGAGAGCTTGGCTGCAGAAAGGTGTGCTTTTCATGTATCTTTGACCAGTGATGTATTAACTTAGTGCTCTGGGCATCCCATAATTTGACATCTCCATCTGTGCTTCCAGTCAAAAACAAGCTGGTATTTGGGATAGTAACTACTTTTGTGACACTCCCTATGTTCATAAAATGTAAGCAGAATTCATTAGAAAAAGAATTAACCATACTACCAGTTCAAATAAAATTTCTTTACCTGAGTGAGCCTTTGGAATATACCAAAGCATCCCATCGACATTCTGGTCCTTGTCACGAGTCAAAGATGTGACAGAGCTTTGCCCAATGTTATCAGCACGCCTGTGCCTTTTGGCCTTTCCTGTAGCTATATAGCGGAAGTCATGAAGTCCAACATCACCACCTTTACCACCAGTCACAATAAGAGGGGATACAGAACCACTTCCTACGTGATTATCAAATACAGACACACAGCGTGCGCCACCTTCACAAAAACAAGTACAGTTGGTAACATAAAAAGACATGAGCAAATCTTCAATCCTTCATAAATGTAACAGGACATAAACCATTTTTATACAAAAGAAAAATAGATCTAGAATGTAATTCACCCTTTACTGAAAAATATACACAAGCAGAAGGTTAGTATGCAAGTTCAAATCTAAACTATGGGCTATATAGCCCATCCAGACCTTTGCTTAAGGAACATTATGTCACAACCCCCCATTGCGACACATTTCAGCACTAAAATTTGCAGATTTTTGTCCACAAGATGCAAAACCCCAACCCTCCCTATCCCAATTTTACATAGATTCATGAAAATTCCATGACTTGATTAATATTACATATTGTCAGATATAAAACCATTTCGTATTTTTACCCAATAGCTTAAACAGCTATTGGAATGGTTAGTTCATGAAATGTAAGAGATGTTACAAAAATATAGAACCGTTCATGTACCTTCACCTAATAGTTTAAAAACTTTTGGGATAGTAAGTTTCTAATATGTGTAAGTGTTCATTTACAAAACTAAATTTAGAGAAAGACCTTCATGACATAAAATGGAAGCTCGAGAAGTTGTAGGTGGAGCTAAAGTATCCCATATGACCACGTTAACACCATTAGAGCTATAACCAGCGACAGCTATTACTGATCCACTTGAAGAAAAGTATGTTACATCCCTGAAATCAAAGGTAGAATAGATTAGCATTTAAATAAGCACAAATTGCTGCATAATAACATTTTTGTCAAGGAGAAAAATAACAAATAAACATACCAACAAACTATAAAACTCAAACTTGTTGAACTCCACTCTAAACATGAATCAAATGGTTAAGACAGTAACCCTGTTTATGGATTCTGTTTTATTTTAAGCACAGTTCTGAAGACATGCAGTCCTGAATATATCTTTGTCCTTCATTTCATGATGGTCAACATTACTAGAACCATCACGTGCTTTAACAAAGGTGGGAAAAAAGAACCCCATAGGGAAAGCAAATATAGAAATTTCTGTTTTCACTTCAGACCAGAGAGTAAAAAATAACTCTCTTTAAAAGGTTATAGTAATTTGGTTGATGCATATTCTGAATCAACAGTTTACTCTCCAAAAGAACTTAATGTTGACTAAAATTGCAACCAAAAGTTGAGAAAAACAAAGTACATACGATGCATGACCATTAAAGCAGAGAGATGATTCTGTTGGTCGAACATTGCTCCTTCCTCCTACCTCCAGCTGCCATGTGCAGGCAGTTCCATCTAATGCAGCACTGGCAAACCGGTGTCCAAAGTGGTCAAACTGCAAAGCTGAAATTGATGCAAGGGCATAGGGTGGAGGGGCATTGGCAGCGGGCAGCACTCCATATGTAGCAGTAGCTCTGTCCTTATTGAACTGTATTTATGATGCTTGTTAGCCATAAGCTTGAAATATGGACAACAAATGAAATTTATTAATTTCCCTAAATCTAGATATTATATGTCCTGCATCACATATGGAATAGCATTCGAGGGGAAAGGGAAGGGGAGGGTTATTATCAACACAGAAATTAGAACTTGTAAGTTATAACATCCTGCAAAAAAAATTAAATAAAATTAAAGAATCTAAGCAGGATGATAGAAAGATTAATTTTTATCTTCAGTTTTAACTCAGCTAATTGAACAAGGGTGCCGTATTCAAAAGAACCAAGTATAACAAACCATTGGCTCAAATGATACCCTCCTCCCTATGGGCAAGAACTGTGTGTGTATGAAGCTTGAACAATGAACATGCAAACTTAAGAAACCATAAGACAGGTTGGTCGCAAAAATAAAACCATAAAAATAAACAACAAAGTTTTCTTTACTTTGTTTATGCAAATACAAGCACACACAGTCATGTCTATTATGCAGAAAAAACTTAAGATTTCCTTACCTCCCACAAGTAAATGTGTGTATTGCTAGAACCGACCAAGAAGAAAGGCCTCATTGGATGACTTGACAAAGCCCTGGTACTTGTGTTCTCCAAAGTGGCAGATGGATCCACAAAATCTTGTTGAATTTCCCAACCTACACCAGAGGCACCAATACCAGCATAACCTAGAATTCCTAATGCTCCACCACCTGTCAAGTCATTGCTGGGCCAAGCCGAAGAACCCATACCAATAGTTGCTCCACCCAACCCAAGGTGTGCCCCTTTTTTGCTCCCAAGGCCAACACCAGGAGAAACACATGTTGGAGCAGGAGTAGATTCTGAACCTGCCCATCCATTCTGAGGCCAATCAGCCTTGGCCCAGAAAAGATCTGATTTACCACTAAAAGGAGTATCATCTTCCAGATGAAAGAATACTATACCCTGAATTAGATAAAGAGAAACAAAGACATTTATATACTTTTCTGTATATTCATTCAGATGTTGGATGATAAGATTTTTAACGAGTCAGTTTTAAATATGATTTTTTTAAAGCAATCTAAAGGGGGACTAAGCATGGTTGCAAATGCAAAATAATTATAATTTCAAACAATAATGGTAAGACATGTGTCATAAATAAAATCATTACCATCTGCATAAAATAGCATATTCATATTACATAATACATTGGTCCATTGACCATCACTTGATAAAAAATGGATAGTAAGTAAACAAGAATGTTGGAAACATTTCCAACATTACCTTCTTCAAACCCTAACTCCAGGCTTATGTAGATCACAGCCATATGCTACACATTGGAAATACATAGCAATGGCACAGCTCAGGAGGGTCCAGAGACAACAATTTCCTCATGATGTAAAACAAGGATTTCATTCCCTTTATTTGCTGTTTTCCCTTTTCAGACAGGTATGCTAGACTGCTAGTTCCAAGTTATCATGCTGGCTGTTTTTCACATAGTTATCATCTTTCCTATCAAGTTTTAACCTATATGTATACTGTAACTGTGCTTATGACAATAGGCCACTCTGTCAACTCCCGATTATATGCAGAAACATAAGAAAGAATGAATATCAACAGACAAGTTCTTAACCAATAACCACCACACCCATTTTTATAGAGAAATGATTTATTAAAGGGAATAAGATGATCGTTTTCACAAAAATAAGTGTTAGACTTATAAAATTTAGCATAGGAGAATAAGGCATGAAACAAACTTTTTAAGATACATAAATGTTCTACATTTCCTTTATGTATGTTAGTATATATGAATTTTATTAGTTACTTGTTAGTTTTTAATATCATACTAATATTTACAAATACTTAGAAGTGTTATTCATAATTAATTTTTATACTCTAATTTGAACTATATTTTATACAAATATTCAGGATTTTCAATTCACGGTACTTCTCTTCTGCAACTGAGTTCAATTCTTACCTCCATCTTCAATGCTTACCCATAATAAAAGACTAAACACTGAGCCCTAGGTCTAAGGAACACAAAAAAAGGAGCCAATAGAAAATGAGAAAAAAAATTGAACTGAAAACATACCAAATGCCCTAGCTGCAAATGAATTATACAATTGATTGTGCATAAAAGATACAGGCATGCCAATGATATTCATTGAAAAAAAGAAAAAGAAAAGAGAGATCCAAGCATCCCAAGTTTCAGAATAACGTAAATTAAGAGGACAAACCTTTCGGTTGCTAGCAACAGCAGCTTCCTGTTGATCAGTAGAGTTTATACATAATGCCTGCTCAAATATAGCAACAATGTCATTCTTATGTGAACATATATGTGAGTGTGACCATGTCAAAACATTTAAATAGAAGGGAAAATCACCTCCAGAAGTTCTCCATTTCTCTTGTACATTTCTTTGGGACTTTGGAAAGCTGCAAAATTTGAACATGTTATGTCATTCTGGTTTGATCTCACAGAAGCATTGCCACTTAGAGACATTTCCTTAACAGGAGCTCCAACTTCTTGATTAGAAGATCTAGTGCTAAGTTCACCTTCATCATCACATGTATCATCAGTTTTAGGTAGTGCTGTCATATTTGTATACAGGTAATTCCATCCTTTAGTATGCAACTGATCCAAATCATTTGGCCAATTGAGTTTTTCCTGTGCAAAGCAGTCAGATATCAATTTGGGATCAGCAAAGTGATCCCATAATAACTGATGAACTGGATATTTATCTTTCCTGCTTGCCAATTCGGATATGTCCATGCTTTGGTTCTGATTGGATTCTGATTTTTGTTTTAACCATTCAAGAGTCATTACGTTTAAATTATTGTCCAATTTCTGCCATAAAAATTCTGCATGTTGCTTAACATGATAAGAAGAAATGTGAGTAACTGTTGTCAACAGTAAATCACATATGCTAAATGATGCTAATCGAATCTGCTCCGGCAAGCTAATGCAATCAGAATCCATATTTATGACATTAGACTCCCCATATGCATAATTTCTGTGGAAAGAACAAAACAACTTAGCATCTTCAAGTTTAGCAAGAATCACATTCAAATTAGGTGTCATGAATCTAGACATATGCTGCCACAAGCAGGTTCCTAAAATCTTCCATCTTTCTTCATCAGGAAGCGAATGCTTTATATCTGCAACTACTTTATCTTCTGCACTCTTGAATACTAGAAAGTTTTGTATGCTAGGTATGGAAGAATTTTGAGCCAACAACTGTGTAATTTTTGGAATACTCATCTTCAGAGTCACCATATGAACCTCATAGGGATTACAATCATTAGACTGTGCAATTAAGAAAGGTTCCATCATAAACAAAAGAGCTTGTGAGTTTCTTTGAAGCCAAGCTAATGAAAAAAGTAAATAATACTCATAAAGATCCAGGATCTCAAGAAGTGTTTTAATTAGATCTTTGCTAATAGAATTCAATTGGATCCTCACAATGTTTCTCAAATACCGCAATGAAATCAAAAGACCTTCAAAGTTACACTTTGAAGCATCAGATCTACTTTCTGTAGATGCATCTTTCTCATGAAAAGTTGAACTTCGTTGACAATATTCCATACTGCAGGCAGAAAAAAATCTTGAATAGAAAAAGGAGATTTCTTCTGCAGTCTTAAAGAGGGGTTTAACCCGAGAGTAATATAAATTGAAAGCATCAAATATGTCATTCTTTTGAGACAGTTCTCCTTGGGTGCGTCCATCTGTCATATCATATCCAATGTACAATAATCCATGGTGGCAAAGCAAGAGTAAAATCTGCAGAAAAGGGAAATTAGGAAGAGAGTGACCACAGGATGTATATGGCTGAATCGGGGTAACACACACAAAAGGAGAAAAAAAAAACTAGAATAGAAAAGTATACCATATTGATGAGACGGTGTGGAGCCAATGAAAACCTCTGTTCAAATACAGCAAGTGCAGTGTATAACTTTTGTTTAAAACTTTCAATTGACTTCTCATATTGCACCATGTACTCATCAGAATAAGAATCTTCTAAATTATGTTCTGCACAAGTGTCAGGCCAACTTGGATGCTCTCTTATCAATTTTGACAAGTAGCAAAGTGCCAAATTCAATTTAATATGGAATACCAGATACACAGACGCATCAGAAGACAGCCAGTTAGAGGATTTTCTTGGCAAGGGCTTTAAAGGACTGGACAGTAAATCGTGTCTGTCACCTAATTCACTTTCTTGATCTGCAGTCCCAAGCATGCTCAGTGACGATGAGAAATACTCCAATGCCTCAACCTTGAAACAAGAAAACATTATGAATAATTAGAAACATAAGTAGAGTACAGTACACACACAATGTCACATACTGGCATTGTACTACTGACACGTGCAACATCTCTGTACGTACACAATACCTCAGGCACAGACAGCAGTAACAATTAATCTAAAGCTGCCACAAAGAAAATTTAACTTAATATAACAACACCAGTTCAAAAAATTAGGATTCAAGAGTTCTTTAAAAATTCTCAGAATGATCTTATATTAATTTAGCCAGGTTCTTGGGTAAGCATGAAAGTTATCTTCATTCTTCACAAAATCCTCCTAGATTGGCAAAAACATGTGCACATATTTACACGAGAAAGGCCTGAGAAACATACTGCAAAATAATTTCTTCAGGAAAGGATGGTCCTATAAACATAGGTGATAAGAAACCTAACTTCATCTTTAGTAGCAGGAAAACATTTACCACACCTACATACTAACTTGAATTGATTAGATATTATGGTGGTAGTTCATGCAAACTCATTATTTAAGAACAAATAAAAGCTAAAATAATACATAATGGTATAATATGTAAAATAAACTTACAGGATTACCGCATCTTTTTAGGGCAGTAACTGTCATCAAAGTTGCCCACCTTAAAAGGATTGCAGAATTTTGCTCGCCTACAGCATTCCGCATACTATTCTTTGTTGCTAACATCTGGCAATAAAAACCAACAGTAGGGTCCAAAAAAGGACCACAATTGGACATGACTGTGGACTCCTGAACCACAGGGTTTACTGAAAACTCCAGCATTCTATAAAAAGATTGATAGTAATTTCCCATTTCCCACTGCAAATCAAGGACAACTGGTTAGAGATAGGATCATGCATGAAACGATCCATTACAAGCAGAATATAACAATAAGTCTCAATGAACAAGTTGAATGTAAGTGTTTTGGTTTTTGGGCACCTCCAGATAGGTCCAATTTCAGCACAACTCAGGGCCATGTAATATATATATATATATATATATATAGAAAATAGGAAGAAACATAAGTAACTGTTGTCAGTAAATCCCATAAACTAATCCATATTCATGAGTATAGACCCCCTATCTAGCAAGAACCAAATTCAAATATTGTCATCTAGACATATGCTGCCATAAGCAGGTCCATAAAATCTTCCACTTTAAAAAATAATGAATTGAACAAATGCTTTATTTATACTTGCTACATGTTTATCTTCTGCACATTTGGACATTTGGAAGTTTTGTATACTATTTATGATAAAATTCAATAAAAATCTACCCTTTGTAAAATGATTGATAGTATCACTTGTTTCACACTACAAATTCAAGGAGATCTGGTTATACATAGTACAGTTAGATGTACCAAGCAAGCCTTATAGGCAGAGTATAACAGAAAGTCTTTATCGATAAATGAAGGTAAGTATTTTGGGCACCTCCAGAAGGCTTGCAAGCCAGTAGTCTCCTTTATCAATTGCAGATGGAAGTATGTACTTTGTAATTAGGTGATGCTCCAATGGTCCACCATGGCCCTCCACAAGACGACAAATGACCAGGGCAAGCTGTTCATCCCCAAGATTCTTAGCACAAATATTTATGGCAGAAGAATGATCACCTCCAAGCAAAAAGAATGCAATTGCTAATTCCAGCTGATGCTTTCCCAGTAAGACATAAGCATTTTTTAAAGCAGCAGCTTTATTTTTCTCATCCTGCATTAAACTTATTATGATTACTTCAACGACATAATACCATAAACAAGATAAAACAAATGCATATAGGACCAGGAATTAACCACTTATATACTCCATGTTAAAACAACTTTAAAAAAAATCTAAATAACTCTATCAATCTAATATAAGTCTCTTATTGGCATTAATGAACAAGGAGGCATTAAAAAACACCATTCTTGCAGACTTGTTGAAAGAAAATTTACCTGAAAATTGCGTGAAAGAAAACCCACTAAAGGCTTGTCCTTCTCATCCTTACTGATTTTGAAAAGGCCAGCTAAAACTTGAATTCTATTCAGTGCAATATACAGCAAAGCACAATCCTTAGGATTTTTGTTCTTCAAATACTGTGCTCTTGCCAATTTCTCCATCTAGAGCAAGAGGATAAAGGAAGTATTAAAACCGTTTGAATTGGGAAAAAAAGGTAATAAACAGTGAGAAATTTTGAATTCCAACAAAAAAGTTGACAGATGACAAGCACATAAACAAAGGATCATAAATCAATAACTATTGAAATAAAAGTTTTCCTTCCAGTTCCAGATAATAATCTTTCATAGCTGATGAGAAATCCCTGTTTCTCTTGTAACATCATACAATCAGAAGAAATTAAGAGAGTAAAAGAAATGAACACAACAGAACAGATAGTGTCACCCTGTTAAACAGCAATTTTGCCATTTTCATAGTACTTTAAACCACTGTTCCTTTAAAGCATCACCACAGTTGATACTTTATATATACAACAGCTAATTTTCAGGGTCCCAACAAGGCATATAAATGTAAAAGAACAATAATTTTTTATCTGTCAAGGTACATATTAAAAGTAGGTAATTCGTAACATCAAGTTCAACAAGACTCACTCAAAGGTTAACTCATAAGAGAAAGATTATTCAAACATTTATAAAAAGTATTCTACACATATTCTTGACCTCAACATCTTAACCCACATCCAAGATTGAACACTTGGTAGGTGAAGTTTGCAACACTGAATATACCTGAGTGACAACATTCAAATTGATTAAGTTTTGATATCATATTAAAAACCGAGCTTAACTCACTTTCAAAAATTAGTTCATAGGTTTTGATATCATATAACAAAGGTAGCATAAAGATTTAATATCAAGAATACCAACTTTTTAGTTCAATTAGTGAGCTACAAAACAGAAGTTTCATGGAGATCATGGTACTGATTAAAAAAAAAGGATGTGTTTGAAAACAGGTTTGCTACAGTATCTTTGTTTTATTTCCTCTTGGGTTTCAATATTTTTGATGAGTTGTCAAACATTTATTGGTTTGAAATAGCAGTAAAATTAAATTACCAAGCAATTATACAAAGCAGAATATAAGAAATTTTCAATGATTCTTGGAAGGAACAAAACAAGAAAAAAGTGAGAGTGATAGAAATAAGAATGTTAAAGTAGATGTGTGGATATATGAGAAAAGATAGGATACAAAATAAGAGAATATTAGAGTAACACCTACAATGAAAAAGATGACTGAAAATCGTTTAAGATAGTTTGGTCATGTATAGAGAAGACCTTTGAAAATACTAGTAAAGAGAGTTGATTGTATAACTTTTTAGTCTAGTAAAAAAAGGTCAAGGGAGACTCAAAAGAACTTTAAACAGGTTATTGAAAGAAATTTTTTGAATAACCAAATTTCTAAAAGTCTAGTTTTTTACCAAGATTAATAGTGTCATGTGATCCATGTAGCTAGTTTCACTTATTAAGATAAAGTTTAGTTTTTGTTGTTATTGATTCCTTGAAGTAAAACTGTTCTTTATATTTCTTACAGGTGTCAGCAATTTCTTACAAAGTGGAATATAAGAAATATACATTCTTATGCGATATAGGTCACATGCAGAAAACTTAACGTTTCAATTTCCATGATCTTGTTTCATGTTTGTTTCCCATTATTGAATATGGAAAAGAATGGAAAATAGAAAAGGACCAAGCATTACCCTTGCACGTAATTGAGGTATATTAGCATACCAAAAGCCCATACCCAAAGCACGCATTTCTTGCCATGATGGTTCATTGGGTATGACAGAACCAAATAAATTTTCTAGGCAATCAGAGTGGTAAGCCCATACAAACAACCTTGAGTTAACAAGCAAATCTTCAAAAGATGCAGCTCTAGCAAACTTTCGAAGAAAAAGAAGTTGCTGAAACCTTAGTACAACCCAAAACCTACAAATATAAGTTTAGAAACCACATCACTCATGTACTGAAAAACCACTATATATACATCAAGATAACATGAAATAACCAAGATATAAGTGAGTCAAAAAGTAAGTTGGGGTAGTTTGCCAAATGAATATCACTTATAGAGATTCATTTGCCAATTGTGTTTGATGAAGCTTGGTGGAAAATATTTTAAGAGAATTCAAGTTCTATTGCAGAGATTCAGAGGAAAGTCTTCAAACCAAGACTTCATACAATTGGTCTTGTATTTTGGTCTATACTCCTGAATTTCCGTGTGGACTTTATTGTTATAATATTGTCTAATTTGTCAGTTATCCTGGTCCAGTGCAGGATACCTGTTTTGTTTAGATTGAGTTTGATTGGAAAATGCTTCTTTGATATCTTTCAATAAATAGATATAGGAAAAAATATCATAAAAATATTATAATAATTGAAGAATACCTTCTCCCAGGTTCATCAAGACTTTGGTATGCAGAAGAGGAGTGTGGACTACTAACTTCACTTAGCAGATCAATGATTGCAAGAATCTCTGTCTTCTCTATGTCGATCAAAAGTGGCATATCAGACAAATTCTCAAGAGATTCAATAAAACCATTAAGCTCAGATTTTGTTGAGGTGGGAATGCTATTATTTTCTGCAATGGAACCTGAATGAAATGGAAAATGGAACAAGCTACTTTGAGCCTGTGAAATTGATGAGATTGAATCAGCATCCCCACTCCACTGGAATCCCCTATCCTGGGAAGCTTTCGATAGACAGCCTTCTAGATAATACGACAATACAATATTCGGAAGACCAGTTCTTTTCAAGATGTGTCTCTTTTCAGGATCATAATTAGAAGTAAGGCATTCAACAAGATGTTTCACAGCTACATAAGCTCGTTTCCAGTTTCCTGAAAAAATAATTAATAATAATAACAAAACCTGAACAACATGACATAATTCCCATTACATGGTTGAGTAAATTAACTGAGTCATCTGTCATACTTAAACAAAACAATATACTCAACCATTACCTGAACTTATATTAGTAAGTAGTACACCAGGGTGATAAGTAGGCAATGATCCACCAATTATCTCAGCTACTTCTAAGATGCTCCATATACCAACCTTGGTAAGAAGTTCAGATTTTAATTGCTCCTTGGCCAGAAACAAGTCATTGGACAGGTTATTGTTCTTCATATTAATTTTTATAGACTGCACAGAATCACAATGTGCATGTTTGCCTCCTTCGATTGACAATTCTTTGAAAGCAACAATCTCACAATCAGTAAAAACTGCAGAAAGTGTGTCTTCAAATACTTCACCCTTGCAATTATAAGCATTTGGCTCCGAATCACAAGGACAACCATTAATCGTTTGCTTTTTTTTATCCACATGGAACAACCAATGACTAAATATACTAAAGTAATTTCCATGAATTACCACTGCTGCAGCTCTAGGTCCCCATAAGAAATCATAAATTGGGATAGAAGTGTGAGCATATGCAATGCGAATCCATATACTCATTTTTTGGAAATTTACAGTGTTTGACAAAGTCAGACCATCATAACGCTTACGAGCATATACTTGCAATTCATTTTGCAAACAAACTCCAAGCAATAACTCACCATTTCCTAAAGTTAACCACTTCAGAGTAATAACATCACTTTCAGGCTGTAGTTTATCTTCCAAAATAAAAGTGCCAGCACTGACTAGATTTACAGAATCCCATATATGGATGGTATTTACATCATTTAAATTGCTTTTGTTGCAGAATGTAGCAATCTTTTGACCACAATCAGTGAAAGATAAACCCTTGACGGGACCGTCATGTGCAACAAATGAACCCACAAGTTCCCATGGTAAGTGCATAGTCAATGAATTGCCAGGTTTATTTTTCCATAGTTTCAAGCTGCCATCAGAGTAGCCTGTGGCCATGATATATGCAGGATAACTACTAGAAAGATCATTTGCAAAGCCAAACTCCTGTCGTCTATGGCTCAGAGGGCCTGGATCAACCACCATGAAACTAGTAACCGGATCATTGGAACTTGGAAACTCACATGAACATGGATTTACAGTGATGCAATATCTTTTATTAGCAAATGTACTTTCAAATGCCCAAACACTGCAGTCATCTAGGCTTTTAACATCAAAATTGCATTCACAACAACTTGTTGACATGTCAAATGAGTGCAAGTTAACTTCCCATGATAATGCCTGAAATCTCCCTGTCCATATTGCCAATAGCATAATTTTATTATTATGAAAAGTTTTATTACAAGTAGAGTTCAATGGAATTGCAAAGATATCAGATGGTCCATCCTCATAAGGACCATGACCACTGAAAGGAATAGTGCATAAGTAGTGACATTCTATGTTTTCTTCTTCATTTCGACAAATATTGACTATGAAGCAATCAATCCCCCTCGTATGCCCCAAAAGAAAAACTAGTTTGTCATCAAGCACTGAAGGTGCCCATGTCAAGCTTGTATACAAGGAGCATGAGTCTTTAGTTGCAAGCTTTCCATAGAGTTCCCAAGTAGGAACAAAAGTTGGACATCCCACAATACAGTTTGAAATGTCTGAAAGCGACCAAAAAAGAAGCAGTCCATTAGAATCCAGAGATGCAGCAAATTGAACTTTGCTTGTATAAGGATGAATAGAAACCTTTAAAATTCTCCCACTGTGACCATCTAAGTTTAAAACTCCTCCAGTCAAATGGGAGGAGATGTTATCAGTGTTACCATTATGAAGGGAGTTCTCCTCAGCATCATGTATTGTTTTAATATGGAAAAATGACCAAACTAAGGAATTACAAGGTAATAGCTGAAGTGGAGAGCATATAATTGGCGGACCAGACAAACAATTTCTCAATATACCAACTTTATGAAGCAGTAAGGCATTTTTAAAATCAGATGAGTGAAACTTATAAACATTTTCTATGTCATGGTTCTGGAGTTCATGTCTTCTCCACGATGTAACTCGGGGAAATCTCAGTGGAGAAACATCATCAAGACAGTGGACAGCCCAAAAGCTAAGCAACAATCCAGGACCAAACACAACTAACCAATCACATTTTCTAGCATCATGCTCAAATCCCTCTTTGGAAAAAATTTGTTTGCCTCCTTCGCCAATTCTAAATATTCCCTCCATTTCTGTCCCCCACGTAACAAATATATCCAAACCAAGAGTTCCATTTAAGGACTGATTAATCTCAATAACAGCAACAACACAAAAGGAGAATCCAGTGTTCTTCTGATCACCAGTGTCCTTCCCAGCCCTCCTGGCCTTTCCATTGTCAATTTCACTCCATAATCTAGCAGTTCCATCCAAGCAGCATGTCAGTAACAGATGCCTCACTGAACGCCTACCGTATCCATTTGACAGCCTTCCTCTCAATGGTCTCCACTGAATCATCGTGACAGGTAGAGGATGATGGAGCTCAGCTTTCGAATATTCAGATAGTCGGCTGCTTTGACACACAAACACATATTTACTTAAGTCATTAACTAAAGTCCCTTGAATGTGTTCTTTACTAGCATGTGCTGAAGTCGCTGAAGGACCCCCAATAGACCAAGTTGCAGAAACAAGTGTTTGAGGTTGATCTGGTTTAAATCTCCAAGCAATTTCCCAACACCTATTACTCTTTTTCCAGAAAACCACCTCCATTCCACCAGAAATGATTCCATCCCCCGATCCAGTCCATGTGATGGTTGCCACTTTCGTGTGTTGCACAAGCACTGCATTCTGGCTCCAACAAAAAGAACCTGAATATGAGTGACAAGATTGTGTTTTTAATATATAGAGCTAATAAAAAAGATGTCTCATCCTAAAGGAAACTCAAATCCCCTTAAAGCAACGGATAATTGAAATTTCAAATGAACCCACAAACATAAACCTTAAAACTATTAAAATTCAGAATTCTCAGACCAAGTCATTAATAATATTAATATCCAACATTTCAAAAATGAATAAATACTCATTTTAGTCATTTTAATCCCTCAAACTGTATGCGTCAATCACTTTAGTACTCACTTTACGCAATCTCACTTTAATCCTGACATTACAAAACTACATTCATTTTAATCTTTTTGATATAAATACGACAATATAAAAAAAGTCAGAGATTAAAGTGATGGACGCTTACAATTTGAGGAATTAAAACAAATATTTACTCAGTCAAAAATTGAAGTTGGAGTTAGTTACCTTTGGAGGTGGCGGAGTCGTGAATGAAAAGGAAGATGCAGTTATCGGAAGCGGCGGCGAGTTCGGCTGAGGAAGGGGTGAGAGGGGACCAAGAGACGGCGGTGACGGGGGAGGGAGAGAGGTGGAAGGTTTGACGGAAAATGGGGCCGATGCGAGATTGGGAATGAGAGAGAGGGGAAGGGAAGTGGGTGATGACAAGGATTGAAGAAGCTGCATAAGCGATCCATGAATAACCCGAAAAGTGAGGGAGAAAATCGATGGTTGATTCAGAGAAGGTAGGAGCGGGTGTAACGACGTCGGATCTGAGAAGACGCAGAGGAAGATGGTCAATTGGGTTCGTTTTCATGTTTGCAGAAGCAGAGGCAACAGTCTCTGTTTCTCTCTCTGTCTCTGCCATTGTTTCTTCTTCTTCTCTCTCTGTCTCTCTGTCTATTTTCAGAAGAAGAGTAGCGTGAATGCATCAACTCGACTCACCATGCATATGCTTACCTGTCTGCTTGTCGTGGTAGCTCTCCACTTGTTATTTTGTGTTTTTTTATTTTAGTGTTTGTTTAACATTTGTTATTTTCTTTTCACCACTGTAAATTCTTGTAAATCTCATCGATTTAAATGTCATTTTAGGTTAGTTTAATAAGTATTACATAAAATGTGTGTTAAATTTTTAATGATTACATGAATAATTATTTATAGATACAATTGATTATGTGAAATCAATTTTTACACAAAAATTAAATACAATTGTTTTAGTGATCAAATTTTAAGTTTTAATTTAATAATACGTGATAATATTAAATACAAATATTCTTTTAAAAAATTAAATTTTTATCTTAACAGTATCAATTACACTTGGCTTTTGTTTGGTTTTACTGAAATATGAGTGATTAAAATTTGAAGGAATAAAATCATTATAATTGTTCCCATTTTATGCTTATCAAAAAGTTTTGAAATACATGCTTATAAGGATATTATGGTCTTTTAAATTTTAAGTCCATTATTTTATTTTACACTTCAGTCTTATTTCTATCGATCCAAACACAGTCTATTTTACTTAAAATTTATTTTTATTTCATGTTTTGGAAAATTAGGGTATGTTTGATTTCTTTTTTTAAAAGTTTTTAATTTTTTTTCTAAATATAATATAAATTTATACTATATTTAGAAAAAAAATTAAAAACTTTTAAAAATAGGAAACAAACATACCTTAGTTTTTTTTTTTTGTGCTATTTTGCCCCTGATATGGGCAAAATTTATGGCACACGTCCAAAACTGCTGTGTGTGTGAAGCCTGTAAAGGTCTTGTTATTGATTGTTGATACATCAATATTACACGATTTGCTTCATTGTTTCTTCTTAGCAAAGGGTGAAAAGGAGCAGACAAAAATTAGTTTGATTATGATAAACAAAAACAAAGTAAATTGTGCTGTGTGCATAAGCAAATGCTTGATTCAGGATTTAATGTTAACGACATTGTTGGGAAAAAAAAGGTGGAAGATTAGTCAATTAGCAACCCAAAAATAAAAAAAGGAAACCAAATCAATTATATATCATTATTACATGACTTTCCTTTCATTCACAGAATTCTCATAATATTAATCATCACCACTCATTTCCTTCTCTTTCTCCTTTTTTTCTTTAAATCAAAATTAAATTAACTTACCAAAAATTATGTGAAACTATCATTACTATTAAAATATATATACCATATATGAACAGGGAAGCTATCCTCTCTCTTACAGTACTCTTAAAATATTATATAAGGGAGGGTCTTCTTTTTAAAAAACAGAACAAGACCTCTTTATGCTCTCAAACTAAATGCACCCCATCTCCTTTTTCCTTCCTTCTTCATCTTTAAGGAATTGGAATCTATAAGGTTTTCAAGTGATTTTCCCTTTCTATTCCAAACCCTTCCTGCTTCTTTCAAAAGCTCAAATAGCCGTTTTTTTTCATCATCAACATCTGGATTTGCAGTTCCAAGTTTTTCTTCTCTCATCTTTAGTATGTACTCCAATATCTCAATGGCATCTTCAACTCTGTGCACAACAACATTAGAAAAAGAAATCATCACGAAACAATCATCACATCATTTTGGGTGGGTTTGGAAAGGTTTATGAAAATAACTTACGATTCTCTTAGTTTTTTTAGCTTATTTCGACAAGCTTATTCATATAACTTATCAAAACAAGTTTTTTTCGTGGTCTAAATTTTGGTATAAACCCTTTATGCAATAAGATTATTGAATAAGTGCTTATTTGAACTGTTATCCAAACACACCCTTTATCTTCACACAAGTAGTCCTGTACTGGTTCCAAAAAATTATGCACAAATACCAAAACTCTTCTTCAAGTCAAATTATCGAAGTGGAATTCGTGACATGCCATGAAAGGGTTGTCTCTAGCACAATGAGTGATGGATAAATGACAAAACTCCTAAGGCTAAGGTGCAACATGATGAAAGTTTAATATTTGTATGAGAGGAAAAACCAAACAAAACCAGAGTGAGCTTGGGACACACAATGATATGAAGGGACGAAAAAGATGTTTACCTCCCCATGGCATCATAAGTTGCTGCAAGATTGCTGTACACTCCAAGAGTGTCCAAATGATATGTTCCACACACTCTCTCCAATATCTCTCTTGCTTCTTCAAAATGCATGGCAGCATCTGCTATTTTATACAGTTGCACGCATGCAAGGCCCATCTGGTTCAATACAACTCCAAAAAACGCAGATTTCTTCTCACCACTGGCTCTAAGCTTGGTGATAGCATTGTCAAAAGATTTAAAAGCATCCATATACCTCCCAACCATGTAGAACATCACTCCCATTTGAGCTTCTATTCCTGCTACTGTCCTATATTGTCCAGGGATATCCTCCAACAACTTCACTGCTTTCTGCAACAGCTTCAGTGCCTCCTCAGGCTCACTTAGAGCTTCATAGATAGCAGAGATTTCAGTCAATCCACTCGCAATCTCTCCGGCCGTTGTTCCTGGCACGGGTTTACTGTATATTCTTAAGGCATTTTCACAATAGGATTTTGACTCTCTTAATTTCCCTGTCTTGTAGTAAAGGTCAGCTAGGCGAATGTACACTAATGCCACAGAACTGTGACTTTCACCCTTGGTGGATTTGAACACTGTTAGTGCTTTCTGATAGGCGAAAACAGCCTCGTCGAAACGACAGAGAGACAAGTAAATATCTCCAATGCTAACATCAATGGCTGCAACCTCATTGTCTTGTCCATTAGCTATCATTGACATGCTAGCTAGGACAAGGTGTTCAAGTGCTGGTTCATAATTTCCTTTTGCCTCGCATATAAGGGCCATGAGACGCCTATCAGCCGCTTCTGTAAGAGAGGCAGGTGAGCAATGATCCTTATGAATTTCAAGGCTCTTCTTGCAGAAGTTCTCTGCCTCATCAAATTGCATGGCTTGAACATGGGCTTCAGCTAGGTACCTGCACTTCATGGAAAGCAATTATTTAGGGAAATTTTCAGCACCATACCACACCAGACATGATATGGACAATATATAAATATAAAGGACAGGTAACAAATTGTATATAGATATATGTTATCAATGGCGTAGCGTCGTTCATGTTGTCAGGTTCTCTATTCTATTATGTCCATCACAAGGCAGAAAGAATGTACTATTTCCATGAGTTTCACCCACAAAACAAATAATATGACCTTACTTAAGGTGCTATCAATTTAGTGCTAAGTAAAATCATCACCAAATTGAGTTGTTCACAGTAAAGCTCATTATTCTCAGTTAAGCAGTCCAATTTATATTTTCATTAATCATTCCTATCGTATAAGAAGGAAGATTAAACAATTTGCATTCTGCAAACATTCTCCTTGGTTATACTTCCTCTAGTTATTTTAAAGCTACCCATTCACTATATAAACCAGTTACTCAACATGGCCACGAGTACAAGTTTAAGGATGTAGCATACCTCTGATGCTGCTTCAACTACAAAAGGGAGGACCTTTTTGTATAAGCCAAAATACTACAACAACAACTAGAATCAAGCCTTATCGATGTATAAGCCAAAATAAAATAAAATAAAATAAATAGTATTAGTTTAATGGGAATTTGGTTATATGTATAATTTAAGAGCGTTTTGTAATACAGTGAGAGGTAAAGTGTCCGGTAGAGACCATGATAGCTTAGTTCCTAAAAGTGTTCGGCCAATTCAACACTTGCATAGTTAATGCTTCAGAATCTGTAGCAACATTCCCAAATTCACAGTAGATTCTAAACCAGTGCGTGGCCAACAACCACATGACTATGAATACCTGTGCAGCACTTCAGTGACTAATATTATAAATTATATACAAAATTGAGGTTATGCATGTGCCATTGCAGACGTGACAGCCATTGGATAAAGTCTCTCTCTGTATAGACCATTCATCCCTATAAATCAAATTTTTTAATAGGTTACAAACACAATGCCTTTTTTTATTCCCATATCAAGGCCCCATCTATAGAAATGTTTTGCCGGAAAACTCCAAAATGTTCTCCGAGAAATTTGACAGCTGATAGTCAGATACATTAATGTTGATTATATTAGTACTTCTTAGAAATTATTGTGTCTTGTTTTAAGAGACTAACATTCATGAACCAGAATATAGTAATCCCTTCTCATAATCTAAATTAATAAACTTTAATTTTCCGCCGACAAAGTTTTTATATATGAAATAAGGTAGTTTACTTAAGTGATAAATTATAAAATTGAACAACAAAGAAAGCTAGCTACCTAAATACAATTAAATTAGTTCTAATCGCATGGTCGGTCTAATAAACCCAGACCAAAGTCAACTAAAAATAATTAATTGATTGAAAAAATAAACATATGGCTGTAGAGCCCCAGAACCAAAAGAACATGGTGAAGAACATTTTTCAGAATCAACAAACTAAAAAAATCAAGTCACAAACATTTTTTAACCTCACATAAACTCAATCACCACTTGTACCTTTATTTTCTCCTTTTTATTTATCAATAATTCAATACTAAAGGAGGGCATTATCTTATGTAATGCCTGGTATTTGTGCAGAAAAATATTTGTGAAAGGAACGTTATCCTTGATATATTTATGTATATTTTGATTATAATATTATATTATATGTAGGTAAGGTATTACAATTCCAAGTGGACCATAGTAGCAGTAGCAGTCAGAGGCTATGAAAAAGGAGTGTTACGTTACCTACAAGTCTCAGCAACTCTCGGGTCGGACTTACCCAAAACCTCAATTTGAACCTCTAAACCCGATTCATAACACGAAATGGATCTATCCAATTGGCCAATCATGGAATACGTGTCCCCAAGCTGCATATACCCGGAAAACTTGGCCATGCCATGATCCGACCCTTTTTCAATATCCAGCAACAAAATGGACCGTTCCAGAGCCTCAACCGCCTCGTCCAACCGTCCCAAACTGCTATAAATCGCAGCAACCACGTGGAGACACGTGGCAAGCTCCAAACCCGGACCCGAACAGCGTTCATACGACATGGAGGCCCGAATAGCGAAATCCAACGCCTTTTCCGGGTTCTCACCCGAAGCTATGGTTTCTCGGGCCATCTTCAGAAGAAACGGAGCCAGATCCGGGTTGTCTAGCGATGACTCTTCCACTATAAGCGTTTTCTTCACGGTTCGTTTCACCGCCGGCGACTGGTTCCCGTCGGAGGGCTCGTTCTGCGGCGCTCCACGGAGGAAAACGCTAAACGGTTGCGTTTGAGGTGGCATGGCCGAAGACTCAATACCCACAACTCAAAATCGAAACTTTGTTCGATATTTTGAATGCCCACGATTGTAAATGGAAATTTTCTTCAATAAGTTCAATGCCCACCATTCAATTTATTGGTTTTGGTTTGAAAAAACATAATTTTGAGAATTGGGAAGAAGAAGCAGAAGAAGAGGGTGTGAGATGTTGGTGAGGTGGTAATGGGTATATATTGATGAATAGAGGGAGAAAGTGATTAGGGGTGGTAGTGATGGAAGGTTGCTTGGAAGAGACGTATGATCCTTACAGAATCTGGATACTTTAATCTAAGGACAAGCTTCACAAGGAAAAAGGGGAAGAACAGAGAAATAAAGTCCATGATTGGGTTGCAGAGTGAATGATGAATCTGAGTTTTGTTAATGGTTTCCTTATTCTCCTTTCATTATGAACTAATGTACTAATCTACACGCCAATCTAACCCAATCACTTCTCTTTCCCAAATGCAGGGGTAGTAGTTGGACTTTGATTTGGGTGCTCACCCTTGAGCTTCCTCGTGCCATTGGTAACAACGTTACATTTGTTACAGGTTAAAATGTACATGTTTAATGTGTAAAATTAATACTTATTTTCATGTTAATTTGTATATTTCATATATGTATATTTTGATTTTTATATTAATATTTTTAAAATATATTCAAAATAAATTTGATTTTTATGAATGATATTAAAATAATAAAAACTAAAATATAACAAAAATATCATTTATAAACATAAAATGTAATTATTTTAGATACAATAAGTAATTTATAAAATGTCTTGCTAATTTTAGTTGATTGAGTTTAATTATTCATAAATAAAGAAATTATAAAAATATATTTATTATATTATAAATATTTTTTAATAAAATTTTATTATTATTAAATGATATGACAGTTAAAACTAATAAAATATATTTATATATTAAATAAGTATAAACTATAAAGAGTATTATTATTATTATTATTATTATAAACTTCGAGAATTTAATTATTATTTTAAATAAACAAATTCTAAAAATTAATAAAACAATTAAAGTAAAAAATATTTTATTTTAAAAAATTAATGATTAAAATAAATGTTTTAAAATGGCGATTTTTTTAACAATACATCCTAAGTTAACATTTTTTTATTTTTTTTTTTATTTCTAGTATAATGCCACAGTTGAGTTTATGATTAAACTATTTGCGACAGTTATTACATGATGAGATTTAAGCACAAAATCTCTTGCTAAATAAACTAATCATAGTAACGTGAATATAATAAGGTCTTGCATTAATCATTCGGGTTTTTCTTTTTTCCATTTCCTTCAATTAAATGCATGTATAAATTCACATGTATATAATTGTGAATAAATATTTATTTTTGTAGATATTTTAATTTCAAACACACGTTAATTAACTAAACAAGTGGTAAGTATTATTTCAAATGATACATTTTGAAGTATGATAACCTATAGAAATTGAAAAACATGAAGCTTGGCAATTAAGTTTGCTTTTTTAAAGTTTGTGATAAAAAAAATCTCTTAATTGGACTTAGAACAAACATATTTTGTGATTAAGAAAAGTCTTCACCGTAGAATAACAATGGTGTTGTCTTTGTTGGTTGGAGTGGGGTATTTTAGTTGTTCAGGACTTGGATTACTTTGCAAGTTAAATTATTTGTGATGTATTTTGTATTCATTAGTTGACATTTTTATTAAATACTTGTAATAATTTATGTAATCAAACACATGAAAAGTAAAGATCTTATTAGAATTGGAGTTTTCTTATAGCTGCAAAAGTCTTCTGGTCCACGTTTCTGAGTTCTAATCCTTTGGTCAACCTGAGTTATGATCCTGAAAGCTTCAAGACAAAGAGGATACGAACGTTAAGGAATAAGGAAGGCCCACTAAATAGGATATAGGACTTTTAGGCCCACTAAATCCCCAGAGTGATAGCTAGTAGGTTCTCATCTATTTTGTCAGAGTAAAAAAAACAATCTTTATTTGTGTGGCATTTAATATCTTTAAATTTTAGTTTAAACATTTAAAAATAAATTTTTTATTAAAAATATTTAGTGTAGTAAATTTATAAAAATTTAATAAATATATTTAATAAAATACATTATTTTAAATATTTAAATTCAATTAAAAAGGTTGAGGTTAGCTTTTTCTAATTTAATATTGTGATAATACAATATTGGTAAATGAGATTTTATATAATGAAAAGGTCCTATAGAAGATTTATACCCTAGAAGTTCAAAAAGATGATAACAACTGAGCTGTTTAGCTACTTGGTATCTAACAATATTTGTTTACTTGTAATTTAGATTCTGAATTTAATTAATCATGTGTACGAGCAAATTTTAATATTTATAAAAATTCTTATCAATTTTTTATTTTTCTTAAAGAATAAAGTATACATTTTAGAAATTAAGTTTTATAATTCACTGCAAAGCATTTCTAAAAAAACAATTTACACTCTTCCGTGTAATAGTCACCATAAAACCAGATGACACAATCGTATTAATTTTTTAGATTTTTATGAAAATAAAAGTATGAAACTATATGACATTAGTTAAACCGGACAGAGGAATAATTCATTGCCATAAATTTTTTAATGAAATTAATTAAAGATTCATGGATTTTAATTATTATCTTTTTTAAAAAAATTAAAATTAGTTTAATCATATACAGTAAATATTTTATGATATTAAACAGTAATAAATAAAATAAACAAGACTTTTGGTAATAAAAAATTAAAAAAAATTATTAAAATCAATATGATATGGTGTATTAAAATTTAAATTAAGGTTGATTATAATATAAAATGAATGAAATAAAATGTGAATTAGATTAATAATCTATTGATATGTATTGTTATTTTATTTTATTTTTTTAAAGTTATAACAGGTTAAAGGGTAAGGACTATAAATTTGTCTTTAATAAAATGTTGATATTTAGAAAAAAATGAATGAAATAAAAAATTTAAACTTACTTATGAAATAATTATATCTCTTTTTATTTTTTCAAATATAAAAATTAAATATTTTAAGAAAGACTAAAATTATAATATTTTTATTATTATAAATAAAAATATTATTTTATTGAATAAAAAAGTTAAAGAAATAAAATATTTAAAATTATCAAAATCCTATATTTATTTATATAAGATTGTCTCAAGTTAATTAATAGATATCTAAAAAAGTTGTTTTATTTTCTTAAAGATATTTATACATAAAAAGTAAAAAATTCTTAATATAGGAAAATTTACGTGACTATGAAAAAGTTAAAAGAGACTTTGCAATTATTTACAATATTTTTGAAATATCATATTGTTATTATAAATTCAATTCACATTAAATTATAAGAAATAAAAAATTAAATTTAAGATATACTAAAGTTTATAAAATATATTTAGATTAAAAACTATTGAAGTTATCTAACATCGAAGTCAACAAAATTATTATCAATAATCTTTTTAAAGTATAAAACTAACTAAATGTTGTGATGCATGAATAATTTATAAAATTAAAATTATTTGATAAATTAGTAGTATAATTATTAATTTGTGTTAAAAGATTTAAAAGATATGTAATATTAAATTAACATAATATTAAAATTAATTATTATTTATTTTATTTATTTATAATTAATTAATTATATAAATATATAGAAAATAAAAAATTATATATATTTAAATATAAAAACATTTTAAGTTATATTTATTTTTAGTATAAAATATATTTGAAAAAATATATAAGAAAGTAGATAAAAATAGAAAAAATAAAAATAAATAAAATTATTATAAATGTGAAAAAAATAAAAGATAATAAAATTAATACATGTACAAGTTTTAATTATATAATAAATAAATTATTTTTAAAAATTAAATAATAAAAATAAATTTATATTTATTAAACAGACAAATTCTTATATAAGTTACCTAACACAGTTTTGATATCTTAAATTATTATACTTTTTGCAGAATATATCTTTGACATTTTAAATTATTATGTTATTAAAATTTATTATATATACATTTTTACTAAAAATACTTATATATATACAAAAACTCTACTAAAAACATTTTTTTCTAACTTACACTATATTATATTACACAGTGTAAATTAAACAAGAGATAAATTCAAAATGAAACATATGACTAGAATTGTCAATATAACTCTAAGCTTATAGTCCACCCTACATAACTCACTACACAATTCTACATTTTTAAGTTCTATATTTAGTGAGGTAATGAGGTTACTTTGATTTTAAGTCTTAATATGTAAAAAAAAAAAGGTGAGTTAGAGTTAGAATTAGAGGTGAGTTAGTCCACTTTTTATAAAGTATAATTAATAAATATTATATTAATTTTTTAGTAAAACACACAGGTGTTTATTTTTTTATTAAATTATTTATTTAATTAATAATTATATTTTAAATATTAAAAATATTTTAAAAAATACAAAATTCTATCAAATCAATATGAGTCAAAATTTAAATTATAAATATTAATTAATTTTTATTAAGTTCAGAAGTTACTTTCTTGCATTAAAGCTAACTTATTTGTTACTGCATATTTATAATACCAATAAAATGATTAGAACCTTTAATTAATTAATATTTTATTTGTTTATTAAAATTAGTTTACTTGTAACTGCATATTTATAATACGAACAAGATGATTAGTTGAACCTTTGATTAATTAATGTTTTATTTGTTTATTTGTTTTAATACTGAAAATAAAAAAATTTAGACTAATCAATTATTTCAATATAATTATCAATTTAATAATAATAGAATCATGCTATATAATTTTTGAATCTACGATATCAAAACCCGCATTTTAGATTTTCATGATGATAATATTGCATTAATTTTTTAACATATTAAATTTTATTTAAATAAATTATTTTAAATATTTTATTACATATTTATTGTAATTTTAAAATATTTATTCAACATGTGATATTTATAAGATAATTTTATAAAAAATAAATAAAAGACAATAATATAAATACTAAAATGTAAAATTTACTGTTAATATTCAAATAAAATTATAAAATAATATGTTAAAAAATTATTTATAAAATTATATGAATGAAAAATATTATTATAATTTAGTAATTATCAATAATATAAATAAAAATTAAATAAATATGTAACTTAACTTAATAAAAAATTATTATATTTTATTTAATATTATTTAATAATAATAATACATTCTAAACATTTAATATTATACAAATTTAATTATTATTTATTTATTTTTAAATAATTTTATTTATTTATAAATTTATAATAAAAATATAATTTATAAAATAAATATTTTTAATAAATTATAATAATTTTTTTAAGAGTAATTCACTTATAAGTTAACTCTAATTTATTTAACCTTTCAGACTTTTTCATTTTATATACTTTTCACATCGTAAGCATTTTAGTACTAACCCTTTAATTAGGTCGACCTACTTGAGA